GCATTAAGTATTGAGTGGCGTTACTTAGCCGCTACTCGATACCGCGAATGAGAAGGTTTTCTTCCTAGTGTTTCAAATCGCTATTAATTAATCGAAAAAAAAGATATATAAATTAGCCATTTTATTACAAAAGATAGAAATGATATCGATACTTATAATTATAAACGAAAAATATCGATACCCCACAAAGGCCTCATCAATTAACATCGCTCGAACCCGTCCAAAGATTTGGTTATCAGTTCTATTGACGAGGAAGTTAGATGTTACGCGAGGGGGTACCCCCAGGGGTTTTTATTCCTCCGCTCCGGTTTTTTACACCTGTTTTTCACCTCTTCCGTTTTACTGTTTCTATAAGTCCACGCCTATCCTGTTTTATTCGCCTAGTTAGGTAAATATATCACTAAAAGTACTAATATGTCTACTTTATATTTTAAAGAGCGGCATTAATGTAAAGACTATCCATTAAAACGTGGGCACCAACATATAATGTAATACATTGAATGCACCGCCAGCGCCAGTACATTTGTCAAGCCACGTGTAGTAGTCATATTTCGTAATTTTACCTGAAGACAACTTAAAAAACAGGGGGAAAAATCTTATTTTTGCCGAAAGACTAGACTAAAACACGGCCCATATATTACAGGATTTTAATTTTTTTTTTCTTTTTGGTTAGATCTCTAGCAGAGTAGATATATGATGATAAGTCAGAAGATGCTTCGGTACATCCATCCACTTCACTTTAACATCCTACACGATTAGTATACATAAATTCACGTCGCATGCACAGAAAACTTTTCCTAATATCTTTTTTTCTTTTTAAAACAGGTAAAATACTTATTTATTTTTTAAATTAGCTTTTCGAAAATTTCTCAACTTGTTTTCCCTAGTGTCAAGCTGCTGCGCGTAAATAACGTCGTTACTCTACGACAATTTATCATACTCGTATCACAAACTACATTATTATGAATATTGTAAGAGAATGTTTGGAGTCAGAAAAGCGCTCGTTAGAAAAAAAAAATAGGAGTAATTCGAAACGAACACGTGCCAGAAAGAAAGACAGCCAACTTCTCTCATTCGGAGATAAATAGAATGTAAACGATACTTCTTCACCGGCGTTTAATGCGCTATAATAAGAAAGAAATAAGAAAAAAAAAAAGAATTGAAATTTTTCGTAAGAAAAAAAGCACGTATACATTACGCGAGCGATAAATTGTACTTTTTCTATCTCTAATTCTCATTTCTTAATAGCTTCTATAAACGAACAAACACAGGAGACACGCGACGTCATTATAAAGCACGTTCTCTAATCGTAAACAATTTCTTACGACGTTTTACGGTGTTTTTTCTCGCAAAATTTAAATATTTAGATTGTTTTCTATTCAATAAAAGGAAAAATATATAAATCCTCCGTATCTCCCCCCTTTTTTTTTGATCGCGAGCTCAGATTGGACCCCTCCTCCTCATGCGTTTAATTAAAATACTTGAAAGTTGACGCGTGTATTCCATCTTTCGATTAATTTGGTGATGTAAGCTTAAGAAAAGTAAAACGAGCTCTAATTACAAATATCTTATATCAAGGAGCACTTTGTAAATTCTTTTTACAAGCGACAAATTCTCTTTAGGTTACACTCCTTTATAAATGACTGGCTTACAAACTATGGCGGAGATCTATGAAAAATAGGACATAAAATTAGAACGGAAATCTTTTATATTTCTGTAAGTATAATATATTCAAACGATAACGGTTTCTATAGAAAAGCGGATGTTATTAAAATAATCAAGCGTTAAACGGAAAACGAAAAGGAGAGTTACGCGAATCGTCATTCCGCTCCATTCGAAATACGTCAACGCCGTTTAAAATGGAACGAGTAGACGATTCGAGCAATTGGTTTCCCGTTTCCGTTTAGTAAACAATGAATCGTTTTCGAAAGGAAATTTTCTTTCGTTAGCTTTTTCTCGTATTTAAGAAAGTCTAGAAACAAAATCGCGCTTCGATATAACGTACGTGACAGGTAGCAGGAAACGACAGTCGCGAAAGAAAATATACGTAGCTTTTGGAAGGATGTGACGAGAGACGATCTTATCGTCGCGCGCGACGACGACGATAAATCGTCCCTTCGGACCCCAGCCAGAGGCCATACGCCCACGCGGAAGATCCCTCCGGGGAGAGTTAAGACAGAAAATACCAATTCCTTTCCGCATTTGGAAATTCTTATCGATCTCCAGAAGAGTAGGATGAGTCGCGACCTCCGAACTTTCCCACTCTCTACCAACGGTGATACTTTCGTCACGTGATAAGAGGGGAAAAAAGTCCATTATTATACTTAGTAAACAACCATCTGTGATCATTTTCTAAAGAATTTCTACTAGAAAATTAGTTTCGATGAACATCAGTGAGAAAAGTTCGTTAACCATTCCAAAATCTAGTGGTTATAATGATCGATTTCGTCTCCGAAATAAACATTCTGCCGACATTTTGAACTTTCGTAACCGTAGAGGCCACATAGAGTAGCGTTGAACATTGTTACAACGAATTTTTAAGTGATCGTGCGCTGGAAGGTCACTTCGAAAACAAGTAATAAATTTAGAAACTTTATGGTTCATCTGCCTAAACAATACAAAACTTCATATAAAATGTTTAATAGTAGGATAAACCTCATTCTGTCTTCATGTAAATCAACGTTACGAACGTAGAACGGAGTTCTGTTCAACTTAATTATTTAAAAACACATTATTTTATGTGTAACTCGATAATTGGAAAATTTCTTTTATATTATAATTGTCACTTTGAAACTAAGTCGAGTCTCGTTTGTCAATTATCCATAGTTTACGCCAGTGTAAAAATAATGGTGAAAATGTCACGGCAGCTGTCACTGATGTATTATTAGCAGTGATTAGAGGTAATTTAGATGAAAGCTCAGTTTTGAAAATATTTTACACGGCAGAGAAGAAAATACTTAGAAAACATTATTTTTGGATCCCTTTTCGGTCCAAAATTAGTGGCAATTAGAGGCAAATTTTCTATCTTCAGCTGAAAAACTAATAGGATTTCCAATTTTTCTTTGAGAATTGAGCAGGAGAAGAGTAAAAATAAGCCATACTTATGCCGTATATTTCTCTACTGGGCTCTAAAACGTAGGCCCTAGCTTATTTGGCTTGGGACTTCACATTTTTGGTGGAGGGAAAGGTCTATTATACTGTATACATTATAGTTTAGAGCCACAAGTCTAAAGTCCAGCCCTGCTAAAATGTCTTTCTTTTGTTATGGATTTAGCCAATTCTTATCGTTTTCGATCGAATATCGAAAGAGCATTTGATCATCAGAAGAGTAAAAGACATTTTCGTTCATTATTACTAAAAAAAAAGTAACCAATTGATAAGGAAATATACCTCATTTCGAATAATCCTGCGACAATTCGTTACTCGAAAATCATTAAGATAACGCTACACCGAATTAGATTTAACACTAATATAAAAATCATAACACATGGAACGAGTAGAAGAGTGTACCTAAGCGAAAACGATTGCGCGATCGAAGGCGTGTCACGTCTCGATTTCCATTATCTCCCATTGTCGTTCTCGACGAGATTGGTGCACGTAGAAGATTGAAGGTGTAATCTACGAAGATTTTACTGGAAAACTCGGTTCGAGAGAGTACACTTCGTAAAGAGGGAGTAGGGAACGGTCGTTTCTCGGCACGACAGCGGGTAGTCGGGGCACTCCACCCACCGACACCCACATGGCGGGGTCGGCGACCCTCCGTTTGCTCCCGAGAGACAAATGCAACCGGCCTTTCGGCGCCCGTCTTCGACACCTCGTCTCCCACTGTTTCGTTCCACCCCGTTATCTTCCACTTCTAAAAGGGAAAACACCTCGACGGGTTTTTTTTTCTTTTGGAAATTCCAAAAGGCCGTAGCATCTTACATAATAATACAACGAGAGTATCGTGTTTCAATGCGATCCACTCACAGAATTACTCTACGGTATCAGAACGATCCGAATGAAAAATGTAATCCAAGAATTACGTCACGTTTTCGTTATTGTATTCGTCTATGACGCAATTTACTCATTCGCTAGAAGCCGAATGACATCATTAATCACTGCCATCGAATTTGCTATTCGAGCACCAATCACTATTTCGAAGACATATTTGGCAAATGACGCATTGAGATGACGAAACCAATGAAAGAACCGAAAACAAATACATTAAGAATGTTACCGTCTTTCTTATTTGTTACAATATAGCCAATTATTCCAGTGTAATTGTAACACGATTCCGTGTAATTAATCCAAGAAAACTAGCACCAAAATTTTATTAGCTGTTAGATAATTTATTTCAAAATCTCGTACGGTGTTAGACAAAAAAAAAAAAAAAAACAAATATTGTCTTTTAAACATTTTACAAAATGTGAATGTAGACGAAAGGCCCGGTTAACGTCCGTTAGAGCCCGGTTACACGACAAGACTTTTATTATTAACTATTATAACGCCTCATTACCGTTAGTGGGCGACTTTCCTTCACCTGGCGGACGTTTACCCGTGTTACGTTTCGAAGTGGGTGACAAGAGAAAGTGCAGCTCGGTGTTGGTAAATGGATGAGTAAACCCAGGCCGTACCTTTTTTAAACTCGGGAAACAAATAAAAAAATCTTCTGTTAGACGTTGGAAAATATATAACAATATATATATATCGATAAGAGCTGCCGGGAATAGTCGAAACGGATGGGTTTGGCATTAATCACCCGGAATTAGTTGGCACTTTAACGAAACGCATTCGAAACCGTCCGATGCGCTACGTCTCTACGAAACTTCTGGACTAAAAAAAAAAAACAAAATTGCAACATAGAAAAAAAAATAAAGTCTCGTCGTATTACTTTTCGATGTCGGATAAAGACCAGGCAAATTTTCCTTAATTTTTTTTATGCATTTTGAAGCGGAGATTCGTTGGTAAAACAGGGAATAAACTGTTCTAAGTCGTACTACAATTCACCCACTGGAATGTTAGCGGCGAAGATGGCCACGGTGGCACTCTTTTTTTTTTTTTTTTATTCCTGAGCTTCGGCCTGTTAGTAACTGATGCGTTACCGTACCGATATTTACGCTATATCGGGGTTTTCCGGGAGTGCTTCCTCTCGTCGGGACGATCCCGGTAAGTCGAGTACGTTTCGGGCGTGACCTTTGTTTTGGGAAGGAGAAACGCACTCTCCGACGTTGGATACAGTTATTTAGGGGGGGGGCCCGGACGGTCCCTTCGACGTTTGAGCATTATTATTATTATTATTAATTATTATTAATTTTTTTAGGCCGGCCACCCGACTAGCTTTTATCGTCGGTGTTAGAGGGCGCGACGTCACAGATACGAAAAGTGTTAGGGTGTATGTGTGTGTGTGTGTGTGTGTGTGTGTTTGTGTGTGACCACGGTTACGACCAAAAAAGTCCGGTACGGCTTTCCAAATAAAAAAAGGACAAAACGGAATTATTTTATGTACAGATGGTAAAACATTAATTTTTTTTTTGTTTTTGTTTTTAAAAAAAAAGAGTCCGCGAACGGCTCTCTCTCACTCTCTCACTTTCCCCCCCTCATTTCCATCTCTCTCTTCCTATGGGTCTTCCGTCTTCGTCCGTGGTTCTGGATCGCGCGGACGAAGATCCGAAAGACGGAGTCCGTTTTATCGACGGTATCTTGGAAGTTGAGGCGGGGGTACCTCTGGCATTTGATGAGGATCGGGGGGTGACTGGGGTACGACGCCTGGCGGTACCGGTCGGTGTTCTGGACGAACTTCTATAGGCTTCGACGCTTTCTGCCGATAGATCGCTGCCCGCTCGGCTGGGGGGTCGACTATTGGGTCGGCTAGAAGGTCGGCTACCGGCTCTACTCGATGATTTACTGCTGGGCCCTGCGTTAAAGTAAATTCAAATTATAAATATTCTTAAATATATGTAATGAAATAATTATCAATAGACTCGAAAATATTTTACACTTCTGCAACTGGTTATTGCACCAGGCACTAGACAAGTGCCTGGTGCAATAACCAGTTGCAACAGGCACTTGTCTAGTGGCACGTAGCATTGTTAATCACCGGGCTACCAGAAAAGGGCACGTAGCATTGTTAAATAAGGGCAGAAGGATTAAGCATAGAATATTTTTTTCATTGACAGATCTAAAAAGCCATATATACATGTTTGATAAGGGATGGCATATACCCCTGTTCCTCTAAATAACGCTTCTGCTTTTTTTTTTAATAAAATGTATTCTGTATGACATACTACTTGAAATCACACTAGATTCCAGCTAGTACTAAATTAACAGTACTGAACCAAAACGGAGTAAGGCAGTAGCGTATCCAGAATGAGAATATGGATGTTACTTCAGAGGGGCAGGCATGTGCTCCCTGTCGTTTTTTTTCGAAGAATGTTACTAAATTACCTTAGAATTATTTCAGTTATCTAATCGAGTCATGCGATATGAGTTATTATATTTCGTTTTATTTTAAAATAACAAAACTGATTGCTTTGGTATCAATGGGTGCTTCAGCATCAAAACAAAACCATCTTCTTGGATACGTCCGTAGAGTATCGAAAAGCATATACAGTATTTTTGAGTGTCTAAGGTTGCTAAAAGCAAATTGTCACGCCTAAAACTGCCCGATTTCTTGTTTCACTGTAACGTCTTAGAAACATTAGAATATATGCTAAGCATTAATATGGTATATTATAGAAAGCAGAGACTAAAATAAAAACAAAAAATCTTAGAATCTATATCTTTAACCGAGCCGGATTGAATAAATTTTGGACATTTCTCTAGTCGGATTACTGAAGATATAGATCAGTGAGATGATGAATTAATATGGACATAGTAGCGCAACGATATGTCATCGTAAGAACGTAAATTTTGTTGCGAGTTAGGTTTTATGTAATGCTTAACACAGTGTTTTTCGATTGATACGCGATAAGATATCAGTTTCTGTCAAGGGAATTCGGGAGTGGTCCTCATAGTTGATCACAGATAATACGGATCGGGCTTTCTCTCCATCTTTCATCTACATTGGCCTGCTATTGCTTGTCAGATTCATTCGTAATGGAAGAAATTGTGACTTATCATACAGTTTTACTATGCTATTATCTCTCAGTATTATAATTTCTTTATAATTTGTTCCATCTTTCGCTTCCAGTCAACTGGGATCATCAAAACTTCTCAAATATCTGTTTACATTGTAACTAATGAGTAACTAGAATTTCAACAGATTTCTTCTTATTGAAGACAATTATTCCAAACCAATTTTTCAAATATTCTAATGCCAAAATAATATATATAAATAACATAATTTGTAATTTTCCTAGCTAAACATGTATTACAAGCATACAAAGACACACTACAAATAACAAAATCTTAATTAAAGCATACAATACATACCACCAGGAGTAAGTCGACTATTGGAAGTAGGTGTAGTTCGAGCCCTGGCAGATCTAGCACTGAAACTATCAGTTTCACTAAAACTAGGGCCACTATAATCACTGCTGGTATCTGCCGGACCCGAAGTTCTCCTCTGACGCATTGGAACACTACGTTCACTCTTTTCGCGTACCTAATAAATAAATAAATAAATAAATAAATAAATATCATTTTCAAATCTTCACATTTCTGAATCAGAGATAAACTATAAGTTATTTTTTCTCATATCTAATGAGAAAAATAAGTACAGAGTATTCAGTTTTGTGATAATTTAAATTTTTAAACCTGATTATTAGGCGTTAATTATGTATAAATCTTCAGAAAACAAGTCAGCAAATTTAAATTAATTGACCATAATTTCATTAATTCTGGTGAAGCAGGTAGGTCTATATACAAATTTCTGAATTAAAAACAAATTATACAATGAACACAGTGTAACTAAATTGAGTGGGATACGAGTGTAATTTTTTAACATAATTAATGAAAATATTGTTCAAAATAAAATAATTTCAGTGAAGAATGTATTAATTTTTTAATATCTGTTTACATATTTACATTAGAGCATAATCCTCAGTAGTATTTGTATATATTTTAACATTTTAAAATTGTTTCTTCTAGTTTTAAACAAATTATTTCTTAAAAAAATATATTATTATAATTAAGGTTATTTCAGATTTTAACTTCAAATATAAAATAATTTAAAAATATTTTTATGAAAATGATTTTGTAAATATCACAATACAAAGTTCCTCTATTCCCAAATTCCATTGCAAAAAAAATTAAATATCATTTGCATTTATATAAAAAATAATTGACATTTTCTCATATCAAATTTATTTAAACATGGCAAATGGTTACAATAGTGTGTTAATAGAATAGTAATTAATAGATTGCATATAAAGTTTTAATTTTTATTAATCCATTAAACCAAATATTTTGAAGATAATCGGTAAAAATAATCTGTTATCTTCAGAAATTTAAGGTTTGATAACCTTAATTATAACAACTTTTTGTTATACACTTCTTATATAAACAGAATATTACTATGTGAATTAGTTATTAAACCCAATTCATGATAAAATATTTAAAAATATATATATATATTTAGAAAAGCACTGATGAGCATGCTGAGACATTAGATCATGTTTACCCAACAGTATACTGGAATTCGAGAACCTTCTTCTGACGGTACCGGTCTATAGAAAGATGGCTCAAGACTTTGTACTGGAAGACATCTCAACAGCAGAAATGGAGCTATAAGATGAAATGGTGAAAGCAAACCAAAATAGCAGAAATTGTTAATAGAAATATTGAAAATAAATCTTTTTGTTAATAAGTATTATAGAAGGAAATATCATTTTTCTTTTTATTGTTATGGTTAAATTAATAAAGTAACAAAAAATATAAAATTGGACTATCAATAAGTATGTATTCTATTTTGATTAGCTGTAAAGATTTATAATCTGCAATATTAATAACACTATTTTCTTATATCTATCATATATTTTTATTTTTTTTTAAATATAAATATATGAAGTTTTCAAATGAAATTAAAAGAATTTAAAGAAAATCAGAAAAGAAATCATTAATGTACGAAAAATGTACTTAGTGATAGTCCAAATTTTTTGAAAGAAAAAGTAAGAAAATAAACAATTAAAAATGTAATAATAATAAAAGAAAAATTAAGAATTGTGAAGAATATTTAGAAAATTAATCATTTTTTGTATGTAATGCAAGATTGAAATGGTTAAGTTCAATAAAAGTTTAATAGTCTATAAATATAAATGTAAACAGAGTGTTCTGTTATGTTTAGTGTATGTGTGTGTATATATATAAAATATTTTCCAAGTGGCACATTTCTACAGCATGCATTCAACATCACCTAAAAAATGCAAATTTGTGTAATACCCAACACCAAAAACACTTAGAGTGCAACCTGCATAAAAATTCGTAATCATCATGCATATAGCAAAAACTATAACATCTTCTCGGGTAATATTAACACAAAACCAAACTAAATTAAAACGGAACACATTATACATTACTAGTAATTAGTAAAATTATATTAAAAAATATATATTACAAATTAAAAACAATCATTTCTGATTTGTTATTCTCTAACCAACCTTGGTAATGGGACCTGTTGAGGGTATTGAACCTGCTGAATGGATGAATGAAGACCCTCCACTCTGAGACGATTGTGAGGAATTGGGACTCGGTTTCGGTTTAAATGGAGTCAGTGACTGGCTGACGCCATCGGCTAGTATGAACTGCTCACGAAGTTCTAAATTGGTTCGTCCTTTGGCTAAATATAACACAGACAAAACAGAGACAACACAAAATTGTAGCATGCAACAATAACATGCAGGGAAAATAAAATAAAACAATCTTAAATATATTTTTAAACCTTGAAGATTACATGCATAGCATGCAGAAAAACCCATTATAAAATATGAAACAGAGAAAGTAACAGAGAACAATTTTACAATTTTAAAATTAAAATTTAGTATAACACAGATGATTATGTACTTGAATTACACAAGATATTTCGAAGGATAGTAAAAGACGTTTCGGAAGCAGCTTTATATGTAATGAAGTAAATTATTATAATTATAATATTGTGCAAACTGTGTATAAATGTGTAATTAAATAAGAAAATAAAATTAATAAAAGAATAATGAAAGAAAATAGCTTAATTAGTATAAAATAATGCTAAAAAACTTAATAATATATATTAATGATCTGATAAAATAATGTAAGTGAAAAAACTGTTTCCAGTGCTATTTATTATATGATTAAACTGTAGATTTGTAATGAAATTCAATGATAAAATGCAAATAATGCTTGATTTATATAACAAACATTTCTGAAGCTATTGCATTAATCAAAAATTTTATTTATTACTTAAATTGCAATAAAATATATATCAAAATATAATAATAAAATTTTTAAATCAAATAATTTGAAAGTGAAAAAATAAGTTTACATAAATCTATCACCATCTGTATTTGAAATATATGCTTTAAATTAAAATGATTTAAAAACTGTTGCAATTTTTCTTTAAAATTTTGTTTACATCATTCTATCAAATCATTATTGATATGTATTTTATACAGTCAAATACGTTTATAATAAAATTTTAAAAGTCAACAGCAAACTTTTTTATCAATGAACTTACTAATACAAGTTACGTCAAAAAGAAAAATGAAAATAAAAGGCAAGGTATTAAGTACAGATAGTGCTTATTATTAACAAAATATAATACTTTAAAATCATAAGAATAAAATATGGTTTCAAAGATATATTTTAATGTACTAGTGAAGATACATTTTGGGATTATTTTTTGTTTATAATATTCAATTAATTATAATTTGTATAACTTTTTGTAGATATTCTTAATATACAAATAGCAAAATCTGGCCCCTTGTAACAGTTATTTCCTAATTGCTTAACCAATTTGTTTTTTACTAAGTAATATTCTTATCATTAAGAGCAAAGTGACAGGAATTTTTATTTATTTTTCTTATTAAACAGAACTTAATATATTGTATTTTCTTAATTCTAAGATGCACCATAAATTTGGAATTCAATTTTAAGAATATTTTTATGGGGGAAAACTTTTTAAACAACAGATGCTACAAATTTCTCTGACATATTTCCAGTTTTATCTTGAATATTATTAAAAATAATTTTTGTCTTTTCAATAATGATAAGATATCATCAGTTCAATGGCCAGACTGGCCATCTAGCAAATGCCAAAGACCTGGGCCTTCCAGGACCAATTAACACAATGCTGGAGTTATACAAAAAAAAAAAAAAAAAAAAAAAAAAAAAAAAAAAAAAAAAAAAAAAAAAAAAAAAAAAAAAAAAAAAAAAAAAAAAAAAAAAAAAAAAAAAAAAAAAAAAAAAAAAAAAAAAAAAAAAAAAAAAAAAAAAAAAAAAAAAAAAAAAAAAAAAAAAAAAAAAAAAAAAAAAAAAAAAAAAAAAAAAAAAAAAAAAAAAAAAAAAAAAAAAAAAAAAAAAAAAAAAAAAAAAAAAAAAAAAAAAAAAAAAAAAAAAAAAAAAAAAAAAAAAAAAAAAAAAAAAAAAAAAAAAAAAAAAAAAAAAAAAAAAAAAAAAAAAAAAAAAAAAAAAAAAAAAAAAAAAAAAAAAAAAAAAAAAAAAAAAAAAAAAAAAAAAAAAAAAAAAAAAAAAAAAAAAAAAAAAAAAAAAAAAAAAAAAAAAAAAAAAAAAAAAAAAAAAAAAAAAAAAAAAAAAAAAAAAAAAAAAAAAAAAAAAAAAAAAAAAAAAAAAAAAAAAAAAAAAAAAAAAAAAAAAAAAAAAAAAAAAAAAAAAAAAAAAAAAAAAAAAAAAAAAAAAAAAAAAAAAAAAAAAAAAAAAAAAAAAAAAAAAAAAAAAAAAAAAAAAAAAAAAAAAAAAAAAAAAAAAAAAAAAAAAAAAAAAAAAAAAAAAAAAAAAAAAAAAAAAAAAAAAAAAAAAAAAAAAAAAAAAAAAAAAAAAAAAAAAAAAAAAAAAAAAAAAAAAAAAAAAAAAAAAAAAAAAAAAAAAAAAAAAAAAAAAAAAAAAAAAAAAAAAAAAAAAAAAAAAAAAAAAAAAAAAAAAAAAAAAAAAAAAAAAAAAAAAAAAAAAAAAAAAAAAAAAAAAAAAAAAAAAAAAAAAAAAAAAAAAAAAAAAAAAAAAAAAAAAAAAAAAAAAAAAAAAAAAAAAAAAAAAAAAAAAAAAAAAAAAAAAAAAAAAAAAAAAAAAAAAAAAAAAAAAAAAAAAAAAAAAAAAAAAAAAAAAAAAAAAAAAAAAAAAAAAAAAAAAAAAAAAAAAAAAAAAAAAAAAAAAAAAAAAAAAAAAAAAAAAAAAAAAAAAAAAAAAAAAAAAAAAAAAAAAAAAAAAAAAAAAAAAAAAAAAAAAAAAAAAAAAAAAAAAAAAAAAAAAAAAAAAAAAAAAAAAAAAAAAAAAAAAAAAAAAAAAAAAAAAAAAAAAAAAAAAAAAAAAAAAAAAAAAAAAAAAAAAAAAAAAAAAAAAAAAAAAAAAAAAAAAAAAAAAAAAAAAAAAAAAAAAAAAAAAAAAAAAAAAAAAAAAAAAAAAAAAAAAAAAAAAAAAAAAAAAAAAAAAAAAAAAAAAAAAAAAAAAAAAAAAAAAAAAAAAAAAAAAAAAAAAAAAAAAAAAAAAAAAAAAAAAAAAAAAAAAAAAAAAAAAAAAAAAAAAAAAAAAAAAAAAAAAAAAAAAAAAAAAAAAAAAAAAAAAAAAAAAAAAAAAAAAAAAAAAAAAAAAAAAAAAAAAAAAAAANCTTTATACATATGTTGCTACAATTTTTTCACTACGTTATAGGAATTGTCGTTATAGGAACGCACGTTATAGGGGGGTCGACTGTATATAAAATATAATAAAGTAAAATTATTATTTCAAAAATCTTATCATCTTTCGCATGGAACATGTCCCAAACGTACGGTACAATCTTTTATAGCAACTTAATAACAAATTAAATTAGCTATTTGAAAGTACACAATCTAAGTTATCTTCCTACATAGTTACCATATTTTCTAAATACTTTTTCCAATGGGAGACAAGGAGAAAAATTCCTTTCCGAAAAAATTCCCCACTTAATAATTTTATAGAAGTCCATGACTTCATCTTTAACTTCATCATCATCTGAGAAGTGTAAGTCACTAAGATGTTTCTTAAGAGGTCCATAAAGGTAAAAACCAGAGCTCTGTCTGGACAATGTGAAAGATAATCCATTACTTCCCACTCATACTTTTTTAGCCAGCCTGAAGTCTGTGCAGTATAGGAAGTTGCATTATTTGTGCAGCAGGTGTATCATCCTGTGCATAGTCTGACCTTAGCATCCTCTAATTTTTACCTTTTAGGATCTGTTAAGAAACATCTTGATGACTTCACTTCTCAAATCATTATGAAGTTAAAGATACAATCATGGACTTTTTCAAATCATTAAATGAAAAATTCTTTCAGAAAGAAATTTTTGTCCTTGTCTTTTACTGTAAAAAGCATTTAGAAAAGAATGGTGACTGCATAGAAAAACAGCTTAGACCGTGTACTTTCAAATGGCTAATTTAATTTTTTAATCTAATTTGTTATTAAATTGTTATAAAGGATTGAACCTTACTTTTGGGACATGCCTCATGTTAATAATTCTATTTTATTTTTTTTTAAAGATTTAAAAAATAAAATTTATAGGAAAATGAAAATAAAAGGCAAGGTATTAAGTACAGATAGTGCTTATTATTAACAAAATATAATACTTTAAAATCATAAGAATAAAATATGGTTTCAAAGATATATTTTAATGTACTAGTGAAGATACATTTTGGGATTATTTTTTGTTTATAATATTCAATTAATTATAATTTGTATAACTTTTTGTAGATATTCTTAATATACAAATAGCAAAATCTGGCCCCTTGTAACAGTTATTTCCTAATTGCTTAACCAATTTGTTTTTTACTAAGTAATATTCTTATCATTAAGAGCAAAGTGACAGGAATTTTTATTTATTTTTCTTATTAAACAGAACTTAATATATTGTATTTTCTTAATTCTAAGATGCACCATAAATTTGGAATTCAATTTTAAGAATATTTTTATGGGGGAAAACTTTTTAAACAACAGATGCTACAAATTTCTCTGACATATTTCCAGTTTTATCTTGAATATTATTAAAAATAATTTTTGTCTTTTCAATAATGATAAGATATCATCAGTTCAATGGCCAGACTGGCCATCTAGCAAATGCCAAAGACCTGGGCCTTCCAGGACCAATTAACACAATGCTGGAGTTATACAAAAAAAAAAAAAAAAAAAAAAAAAAAAAAAAAAAAANATTAATAAATAAAAAGTATATTAAATTTTAAAGATTATAAAAACAATTTATTCAATTTATATCAAAAATTGATCATTAGATCTTACTAGACTTTAAGATGCCTTCAATAAATTGCTCTCTGGTTACTTTTCCATCATTATCTCTATCTATTTTACGGAATAAATCCATTACTCTGGATTTCTTATTATTCATCCAGGCTAAGAACTGAAGGATTGATAAAACTTAATACATGGAATAATTCATATTTTATAAACTCAATAAATAAAAATTTGTTATATACATACTCTTTTCCTCCATTCATCAAAATCAAAATTCTTTATTCTTTCCAACTAAATCAAATAAATATGATTTTGTAAAATAAAGTTTTAATAATGATTAAATAAAAAACAACAAGTAGAATTAAAATAATTTTACTTCTAGAAGATAATTGTATTTATCTTGTAAGCGACGCTGTCTCTCCATTGCCAAAAGCCAAACATTACGCCACTTTTCAACCAACTCTCGTGCTTTTGGATGCTTAATTTCAGGATCAACTGCTTGTCTTCTATATCGTAAAATAGTTTTCATTCATGAATATAGATATTTATAAAATATTTAGTTAATAACAATACAAACGTCAATATATACCCAGGAGTTGAGGTTTTCGGTGCCAGAAGACCTTTTCCAGCTTTATGAGGTAATTCTTTAGCCCCCTTCTCGCGAGTGGGTGCCTGATTCTGTTGATGTGGTTGGCGTTTTGATGAAAAAGCTTTCGTAACTCTTTCAACATCGGGTTGTTTTTTAGACATGTCATCCATAAATCCCTAATTAGTTCAAAAAAATAAATAAATAGAAAGAAAAATTAAATCAAGAATAAAGATAATTTAGGTTATAATTAATTAATTATAAAAATTAATACCTGATGATCTTTAATTAATTGTTCTAAAGTAGGAATATCATCAGGTAATGGTTCTGCTTCCAAAGCAGTCAAACTGGCTTCTGCTCCTATTAACCATGCTAACAATTCTTCTAATAAGTCCATAATGTCTCTTAATGATCTTAAATGATCCTGCAATCTTTGTTCTCTTTGTCTTGCCCATACAAATACCTTTGAAGTAAATATTTATGTAAACATTTGCATTTGAACATTTTATCACTTTAATATAAAATTAATTACCTCTTCCCAGCGAGATTGTATAATAGTGATCCAGTGACGAATAACAGAAACTCCATCTGGATGACATTTTTGAAGTATTTCTTGTGCTAGAGAAATTGTATTATCTTTATGGACTTCTTGTTCTGTCATTTCTTCCATGAAACAGTGATGTTCAGATATCTGTTGACGTGTTGTTTCTTCATCTTCTGGTAAAGGTCCAGCAAACCGTAACTTCATTTCAGCATCTGAGAGCCATTCCAAAAGCATATGCACAGCTTTATGCAATCTCTCAGCCTAAAATAATAAAAATACAGTTTTAATATCTAAGAAATATCTTATTTTAATAACTTTATTATAATATTGTATAGTAAATTATTCAAACCTGTTTTAAACTTTCTTCTAGTAATAACTTTTTGTTTGTACTGAGCTGCACAACTTCTTCCCACTTCTTATCCAAAAGTGTCATTTGAGATTGGATGTGTTCAGCATCTTCAACACTTGCAGACTGTAATAATTCTCTTGCCGTACGTCGTACGGATTCCATGCTGTTACCTCGAATATTTAATTCATCTTGGAATGTCTAGAATGAATAGACATATATATTTTATTCATTCAAAAATATATGATGATTATTAAAATACATCCATTATCTGAATAAAAATTACTAAAATAATATGAAATATATATGACATTTTGTATAATAAATGATTTTCAGTTTATTAATTTAATCTGTTACTTTGACTTTTTAAATTTATCAATGTATATATAAGATTTTGAAATTACCTTATGCTGATCAACTAATGCCATAACAGTATCTAAATCACCATATAAGAATTGTTCTTCTGACAGAGTTGTTTGAGCTTTATCTAACCAATCAATGAGAGCTTGAACAGCATCTTTAAACTGACCAGAAAACAATAAAGCTTCTTCTAATTTCTGTTGTCTGAAATTATAATTTGAAAATCAACATTAATAAATGTTCTATAAATATTGATCAAATAGTAAAATTGAACATAAAAACAAAGTTGTTAATTTTGTTAACACCAAACACAAAATCTAAAATATTTTTTAACGAAGCACGTTCTGTTTTTTCTTGTTCAACAAAAACATAATTCTTCTTAAACCATTCTGTTCAATAGATAAATATAAGTATAAGGCTTAAAATATTTGATTCATCTTATTGCCTCTTGTTATTATTCCGTCTTGTTGCATATATTTAGAAAGACCATGATCAGAAAGAAGAATATAGCATTTCTTCTTTGTGTTTCATAAAAATCCATAACAACTGTTAGGATGCGTTCAGACAAGCTTCTTCTTATGTTACATCTGGACATCGAGCCAATCATTGATTGGCCAGACGTCAAGACATTGAGTTGTACTAATAAAATGATAAAAATTATAAAATTTTATTTTGTGATTTCAAATATATTTTCTGTTCACTAAATAAAGTAAGTGCTTTAATCAAAATTATAGTTTAATACATGTATTAGGTATAAAACAGCCAATAATCCACTTATGTAAGTTTATTAGAATTCTAATTTCTTGAGGCACACAAAGTTAAAATCATGATTCCACAACAATATAAAATAAATTGAAGTAATACTGTAGAAGAAATTCCAAGAGTAGAAAATACTAATGGATAATATATTTATTAGCTATTGAAATATTTCAAACAAGAAAATGTTTTGTAAAAAATAAGTTAAGCAATATGATACTTTTCCTTTCGGCTACATCAGTTATTTGCATTATAGTACATAACATTGATAAGATTATAATTTCAAGCCAGTTAACACTTTATATTAATAAATTTGAAAATGTTATTTTTAGGCAAATTTAGATTGTTCTTTTAAGAAAAAATATATTACATATCTTACAAAACTGTTAACTGGAAAACTTACCTATCCACAGATTTTGAGCAAACATTATTCCATTTATTTTTCAACTCATCCATCATATCTTGCAGGACAGGGATATCAGTTTTTGGTGCTTTTTCTTTTAATGTACGACCATTTTTCATTGTAGCATCATAGTTTGGCTGCTTAGAGCCTAGAGCCCTTTGAAATTCTTTGTGTTTTGCTAATAGTTGTTTTATCTTCTCAGGATCATTACCTATATGAGTTGTACTATCCAAGTTGCTCTCTGCTTCATCCAACCACGTTGTCAATTCAATCCATGCATCATGAAACTGGAATCAATAAAATCAGCATTTTTGCATATTTTTCAGAATTATTTTATATAAAAATATTTCCTCTTATAATACCTCTTTAGCTTCTTTATAACCGTGATCCAATGCTCTAGTTCTTTCTGCAGCCTTTGAAACAACTCTTTCCCATCGATGTTGAACACTGATTAGTAGATTTTTGATCAAGATAACATCCTGTTTTTGACTAAAGTATTTCAGGTGAGTTCCTTTCTTATCAAGATTGAGCATTACTTCCCTGTGAGTGCCAACGTCTTTTTGAAATGCCTGAATTCATCAAAATAGTAAAATATTAAAATTGTTATGTTTATACAATTTGTTAATATTTTATAGACATAATAGTTTTGTTACTTTATGCTCTTCAATTTGTTCCATTACAGCATCCATAACTCGACTAACAGCTTTAAGGTTGCTCATATATTTTTCTGCATTTGTAAGCCATTCCACAAATTCTTGAAGAGCTTCATGAAATTCTGTGGCCTCCCTGAGAGCAATTTCTAATTTTATCTGTGAAAATATAAATTTATTAAATAAAAATAGAAATTTTGAATTTTAAAAGTAATAAAACATTTTAACAAACCTTTCTGTCATTAGCACGATTAAGTACATTATCCCATCTCTGCTTTAATGTTTTCAAATTGTGTTGAAGATTAGTAGCAGCACCTTCATTTGATCGTTTCAGATAATCTTGTCCTTGCTGCATTACAGCTTCTATCTTGTGTCGATTACCATCTAAATCATTGTATAATTCCTGAAAAATAGCATTAAATATATAAAAATGACAGAAGATCTATGATATCTTAAAATTCTATCAAGTAATTAAGTATAGAACAGATATTCCAATCAGCTGCATGATAGCAATATATAGAAAAACCTCTAATCTTGGATTCTCTCTTTCTCATATCACTCTTAAGTCAAACTGAATTGTTGATCCCAGAAAACACTTTATATAATATAATGTATTTTTCTATTCCTTAAGTCAAACAAAACTTCACACATCTCAACGTTGCCTCTCCTTAAGTTGAACTAGTTGAACTCAGTAACTGTCGACCAACCTAAGTTTATTAAGTTCTATGACTCTTTTTGCACATTGATTGATAAGAAACTTTAATACAGCTGGATAAGTAAGCCAATCACATCAGAGTTGGCAATTTAGAAGAAAATTTGCTAAATCTAGCTTTCCTGTAGCATTGTCAAGTAAGTGGCTTAAAAGTTCTGTTCTCTACCTGGTGGAAATGTTAGCATTTTGTTTTTCTGTCATAACAGGTAAAGAAGGGAGAAAGCAGTAATTGTTAAAGTTGATTTTACTGTTTTGTTTTTTAATTTCTACTGGAAAATACTGATTTTCTTATAATTCATATTTCTATTTGGAGCTGAATTCCTTTTGTGGTAACCATCTTCAAATTTGTCTTCATTGCTTTATGAACTCATGAAGTCTTTTACATAAAGTCTTTTCGATAGACCGCCTGAAGACGGTAGTTATATACTACTGAAAGTGCTAGCGGACGAGTTCATTTTCTAAAGTTGGACGAGTTCATTCTCCAAGACTCCACTCCTGTAATGCCACAACACGTAAGTGTTATAATCATAGAATAACTTCGTTGGCGTGAAGTGTCATTGTATACTATATCATGAAGTCTTTTACATTAATAAAAATCTATTTGCTAACCACTTAAATTTTCCTATAGATAATTTATGTGGTATATTATGCAAAATATAAGTTTTGAATAAATTCAATGTAGCATAGAGATGTAATTGCCTGATATACCTAAATTCATGATATTTATTTAAATCATCATTACAGCCTTCTAAATTGTTCTAATAATGATTCAAACAAACATCATGGATTTAAATATCAATATATCATGGAAAACTTTTACTCTACTGCTTTGTACTTTGTTCCTGAATAAAAATTTTTCTATTTTTCATATAACTCCATATGTAAAACTCTTCACAACTTAAATTGGCCATTTTTTTGGTCCCCTCAGATTTGAGATTTTACTATATGCCAATTATTACAAACCTATACTGAAGCAGATGGAACAAGGATAGTAACAAATAGACAGAAAAATCAAAATCTGAGCTATCAAAATTAAGTTTTTTTTATTAAATATGGTAAAAAAATGATATAAACAAACCTCATAAAACCCTATAAATTTCTAAAGCCAAACAACCACCAGATTATGTTGGGCTGCTTTTCTATAATTACATTTAATTAATTACTAAATAATTTGTCACTAGAGAGAGGCATTAGATGCCATATCTTATTAATTTAATTACAATTATTAAATTTAATAATTGTAATTTAATTAATAAGATAAAGTTGATTAAATGGACACTTTAATTTTAATCAACCTTGATTTTTTCTACCTGATTTTGCCATTTAAAAGAGAGAGGAGAAAACAATATCCAAAATGATTTTAGACTTGAAATAATAATAATAAAAAAATATATATATACATGAAAGACACATAAATGGTAACATCAAATCAAGAAAGACTTAGAGAGATGAGGGGAGAAAAATTAACTTGAAAAGAATGAGTCATGATCAAATGACTAATATCCTTGATCTAATCCTTAGAAAAAGACATGAATTGAAGCAGATAAAAATGAATTTTAAATTAAATATGTATTTTATCTGAGCAAAGTTTTAAAGATCTTTAAAAATTAAAAAGCAAATATATACCATGAAGCGATTTAATTGTTCTCTAGCAGTTTCTGGTAGACCTCCAACTGGTTTAGAAGTCACAAGTTGTCCATCAATATCACTTAACCACATCAACAGGTCTTGAACTTCTTGATGGAATGCTTGTGCCTGATTAAGAAAAAATTCTTTTTAAAAATTTATAAAATTTTTATTGATTTATCTAATATTTATTAAACTATGAAACTTATTAATAAAATGGCAAAATATTATTTTTACTATGTAAGAATGTGTAAAGATGAAAATACAACAATATAAACAAATCAAATAAAATTTATTTCAATTGATATAGAAATGATTAAAATTTAAATTTATTTATTTATCATTGTTAATTCTTTCATCACATAATTACAAATAATATCTTAAATGTTAATCTTAAAATTACATATATCCAATGTGATAATTCCTTTTGATTTGAAATTTGATTTTACAAATTTAATTTTTTTTCTGGATTAAAAAATATATATTATTTGTTTGTTTGTTAAGTTATGGCAATGCAACACTTTGGCAATCTGCCTGGAGGGATGCCTTCCAGGAGGTCTTTTAAGGAAAACTGGTCCCTAGTTAGGTGTTACAGACATGGAGAAAATCCAGAAAATTCCCTGTCCAAGTGTGGCATGAACCCACGACCAAACTACCAGTGTTCAGGGTACGAAGACTGCTTGGCCACTGGTGGGCGCTTATATTACTTTAGATTAATATAATTTATAACAGTTACATAATATGAAAATATTTAATATCCAATTATATAATTATATATTTTTAAATTTAATTTGTAATTAAATTTCATTCATAAGCTTTAAACTAAATAGAAAATCTTTAAAAAAAATTACATAATAGATAGTAATAAAAAGACTGAATTATTTTAGCATATGAAAGTACTCAAATTTTCCAACCCAAGTTCAATTTTTGTAAGTATTGAGATGAGCATACTCATGTGAGTCTGGAAACGGGGTTTTTGATAATTATAATGTGGGATAAAAATTATAAGACATTTATTGGTATTTCTGTCTCCCACAGGACAGGTAACAGGAGACGGCTGAATATTAAAGTCAACAATCTCTTTCTTCCCTTGTTTTGGGAAACTTTCTTGGATAAATCCCAACAATTAATTGTTGATGTGTGAGAACATCAACATTGAAACAATTCCCACAGCTTTAAACGGCCCACCAATGACACAACAAGAATGACATTGCTCCAGCGACCTAAGATCACCTGATCAAATTCCCACACTCAATGGGGATATAATGGGCTCGCACCTGAAGTTCCAGATGGACACTTTCCCAGAAGCTAGTGGGACAACTTCTGTATGTCAATACTTGTTGCTTCCATCGGCCGTCTCATTCGAACATATGCAACTCCACCAAGAAGCTATGTTGAAATGTTCTCATTGATAAATATGACCTTATTGTAAGCTCACTCCCCCCGACAATAGCTAGCTTATTTGTAGCATCAACATTGTATACAGTAAGTGTTAGTATTTAGCTTAGAGTTATTATACTTCATCTATTAATAGTTTATTATGCTTTGTATATTAATCCAGATCTGCTATAAATAAATATATAGTTTAATTACTAGTGGATTTGTCTCTTCCTCCATTTGCAAATCAATCCCCCTAATACACAAACCTCCTACAAAATTTCAGAAATTTTTGACAAAAAGCACAAGAGTTATTAAATAAGTGTCAAAGAAGGTAAACAAAATCATTCCCAAACACACAAACAGAAAAAAAACCCAAATTTTTTTTGCATTTCTCAACTTTTCAAGGTCCTGGGTCCAAAAATATAAAATCTTGAGGGATCATTTTTTTAACTAATTGCCATACTTTCCCTCTGTTATATATAACAACCAGGAAAGTAAAAAGGGATTGGATTAAATACTGATTTGTGTTATACAATGAATATGAATATTCAATAATTGATACTGTTACACTATTACATTAATGTGTATACATTTAATGCAAATATAATAAACTTGCATAATTAAAAATTATCATGTTTTATTTGTGATTAATATTATTGATGTTATCATTCCCTTTTCATTTTCACCATCTCTATAATATGAATTTAAAAATGTTACTATTAAAATTTTATATTAGAGAAGTAACAGATGAGTTTACTATGTGTAAATATTAATTTAAACCATCACAATTGATTTTTATTGTAATTTTCCCAAAATCCCTATCCTAAGTTTTCCTTAATTTTAGGTTGAAATTTGCCTCTCTCTGAGAAAATATTAAATATGGGTTCCACTCTATTATAATTAATGTATAAAATAAAATTTGTATTTTGTAGAAAAAAATAAATAGATAAAGAAATTTGATATATTATTCCAAAGGAAAAGAAATGTATTTGACTTTACTTCTAATTAAGCCAAAACATTAAATTAATTTTTATCACTCTCTTGAATGAAAATTTATCATTAACATTTGAATTTTGAATGATCAAAGAAATGATCAGAAAATTTTTACTGTAGAATTCAATAAAGGAAAGTATTGAGTTCCAATCCTCAAATCCTCAAAATGATTGATATCTATCTTACAATTCATTTAAATTTCAATATTTTAATTTTTATAAATCCTAGAAATAAAAACATTTAAGAAAATCAAATCCATTTTACTTTATATTTAAGAATAATTAAGGTAAAAAATTTACTATTAAAACTAACTTTGTATTCTCTCAAACCTTTTAAAAATTTTCTCGAGTGTAAACAAGTTTTATAGCAAGCACTTTGATAGTGTTTGATTACAAAGTATTATCTAATAGTATTGAAAAATACCTCTTTTAATGCCTCTTCAAGTTCATTTTGTCTTTCTGTGGATTTATCTTGTAGTTGCTGCCATTTCTTATTTAAATTATTAAGTTTATTTTGAGTGACACTGGCATCTTCACTCCCTCGATTAGCTTCTATTAACTGACGTCCGGCTCTATTTAAAGTGTCTACACTTGTTTGATGTGCTTGTATATCATTTATCAAAATCTAAAAATATATTTTGTTGATCAAATTTCATTATATATATAAATTTAAATTATTTATAAATTTAAAAAAGTTTTATTACCTTATGTTTAGCAAGTTCAACTTCAATAATTTGAGGATCACCAAAAACAGGTCTAAGCTCATCTAAAGTTTTTTCTGTTTGTGACATCCAGACTAATAACTCATCTAATGCGTGTTGGAATTGACCCAATCGCAGAAGAGCATTTTCTAATTCTCTCTAAAAAATTTTTATTATTAAAATTAATTAAAAAAAAACCTAAAATTGTAAATTTATAAAACTGATTTGATTAATTTTCAAAAATATACCTGTCTATCAACAATACCCTTCAGCAAGTCATCCCAACGATGATTAATATCTGCCAACGGTTCTCTTATAGTTCTTGCTTGTGTAGGAGAAGTACGTTCCATTAATTCCTGTGCTTGTCGATTTAATGCTTCAACTTCAATCATGTGTGGATCCACTTCTTGTTTAAAATCCTATATATTTTTAATAGTAGTAATAATTATGTTTAGCTCTGTAATTAATTATTATGTAATAAGAGCAATTTTTAGTAAATGATATACCTTTAATTCATTAATTTGTTCCTTTACTGTTTCAATATCTTGTTCTAATGGACCTAAATCAGAAAATTTTTCTTCTGCTGAATCCAGAAATTCTAGAAGATTCTGCAATTAAACAAGTAAATTTTAAATTTTTATGAAATTAGTTCTTTATAGTACAGTAAAATCTCGTTATTTCGAAATTCAGGGGACCAAAAACACACGACTTCAAATTATCTGGGATCGAATTAGCCAAACTTTTTTTGAATTGAATTTTTTTGTAATTCTCAAATAAAGTTATGACATTATCTTATATAATTTTACCTGTTTGGTTACAAATGTGTTGATATTATGAATTAATATTACTTAGCAATTTAAGCTATTTTGAAATAACTGTCATTTGGTACATACTTAATGAAAACAATGAAAATGTAACAAAGCTATATTCAAAGCAAGACCTGAAAATAATATACAAAAGAAGCTTAAGTGCTTCAATAAGAATTACCCTTAAATTTTATCTAGAGGACCCATTGCTAGTTCTATGAAGAAATCATCGTCTTTAGTTTAAGATTATGAAAATCTTGTGATCTGATGAAAACAAGCCCTATTAACAGCTAAAGCTATAAGTATGCATTCATTCTTGAATACGCAAGTGTATTTAATGGATTTTAGAATTATTGAAACAATAGATTTTTGAAAAAAATGTTCAAAATAATTAAATGCCAAACAATTTCTTCCATAAAAATAAAAAATTCTCTCTTCATTTGCAATTTGTACAATGTCCAAATGACCTTGAACAAATGTCCAATAAATCAAAAATGTGTGAGTAGTGAAACCAATGCTTTGGCATGAAAACTTTTCTTATAAACACATAATACAATGAAAAATTTCAAATTAAACAATGTTTTTGCTGGTCACTGGACCAGATAATATCTTCAAATTTCATTGTATATATATTTCAAATTATCTGAACCAAAATAAGTGCAAAATCCCATTCTCTTGACCTGGGACTGGACTAGACTTTGAATTACAGTAATACCTCAGTTTTCATTGACTTCGGTTATTGTTGGTTTCGATTTTTGTCAATTTTTTCTGCGAACAATTTGTCTCAGTTTTTGTTGGTTGCCTTGGAATTTCATTGGTGCACCTACATGACCTCCTGCTAATTTTGCAAAAACATAGGGCAATGTGTTTTCCTACTCAGTGGGGCATTGTTTCTTGTTGTATGAGCATTACCCTGTGCATCTAGCCAAACAATTCTATTCCTTTCCTTTTAGCTCCATCATGGGACCAAAGAAAGTTTCCAGAGCCAATAGCCCTTCGAATGTCATGTTAGATGTTCATTTATTCTTTACATTAGTTTTTTATATTCATTTTATATTAATTTCTTATTGTTTTTAGTATTAAACACAATATTTATTCACTATAAAATGTGTTTTTGATATGTATTTTGGAGTGTTTAGAACAAATTACTTGGATTTACATTGATTCATATGGAAATAATTGCCTCAATTTTCATCGGTTTTGGATTTCACCAACTGTTTTCAGACAGATTATCAATGAAAACCGAGGTATCGCTGTATCTGATATTGAAATAATGAGGTTTCACTGAATATCAAAAAAAATNCCAAATTTTTTTTGCATTTCTCAACTTTTCAAGGTCCTGGGTCCAAAAATATAAAATCTTGAGGGATCATTTTTTTAACTAATTGCCATACTTTCCCTCTGTTATATATAACAACCAGGAAAGTAAAAAGGGATTGGATTAAAGACTGATTTGTGTTATACAATGAATATGAATATTCAATAATTGATACTGTTACACTATTACATTAATGTGTATACATTTAATGCAAATATAATAAACTTGCATAATTAAAAATTATTTAATGATAAATATTAACTTTATTCCTATCTTGAAGTTTTTTGATTTGATGAGCATTCAAGGCAGGAGTTTCTAAAAGTTCAGCTTCAGATTCCATTTCATCTAACCATTGACTTATATCTGCATGAGTTTCAAAGAAATGTTCAGCAAGAGGGAGTGCTTGTTCCAAGGCACTGAGGCGATCAGCAGAAAGAGCTGATACAGTATTTACTACATCTTTAAGCTCATCGGCTTTATCTCTGATATGGGCTAAATCATCACTCGAAGACTCTCTCATTAATNGAATATGAATATTCAATAATTGATACTGTTACACTATTACATTAATGTGTATACATTTAATGCAAATATAATAAACTTGCATAATTAAAAATTATCATGTTTTATTTGTGATTAATATTATTGATGTTATCATTCCCTTTTCATTTTCACCATCTCTATAATATGAATTTAAAAATGTTACTATTAAAATTTTATATTAGAGAAGTAACAGATGAGTTTACTATGTGTAAATATTAATTTAAACCATCACAATTGATTTTTATTGTAATTTTCCCAAAATCCCTATCCTAAGTTTTCCTTAATTTTAGGTTGAAATTTGCCTCTCTCTGAGAAAATATTAAATATGGGTTTCACTCTATTATAATTAATGTATAAAATAAAATTTGTATTTTGTAGAAAAAAATAAATAGATAAAGAAATTTGATATATTATTCCAAAGGAAAAGAAATGTATTTGACTTTACTTCTAATTAAGCCAAAACATTAAATTAATTTTTATCACTCTCTTGAATGAAAATTTATCATTAACATTTGAATTTTGAATGATCAAAGAAATGATCAGAAAATTTTTACTGTAGAATTCAATAAAGGAAAGTATTGAGTTCCAATCCTCAAATCCTCAAAATGATTGATATCTATCTTACAATTCATTTAAATTTCAATATTTTAATTTTTATAAATCCTAGAAATAAAAACATTTAAGAAAATCAAATCCATTTTACTTTATATTTAAGAATAATTAAGGTAAAAAATTTACTATTAAAACTAACTTTGTATTCTCTCAAACCTTTTAAAAATTTTCTCGAGTGTAAACAAGTTTTATAGCAAGCACTTTGATAGTGTTTGATTACAAAGTATTATCTAATAGTATTGAAAAATACCTCTTTTAATGCCTCTTCAAGTTCATTTTGTCTTTCTGTGGATTTATCTTGTAGTTGCTGCCATTTCTTATTTAAATTATTAAGTTTATTTTGAGTGACACTGGCATCTTCACTCCCTCGATTAGCTTCTATTAACTGACGTCCGGCTCTATTTAAAGTGTCTACACTTGTTTGATGTGCTTGTATATCATTTATCAAAATCTAAAAATATATTTTGTTGATCAAATTTCATTATATATATAAATTTAAATTATTTATAAATTTAAAAAAGTTTTATTACCTTATGTTTAGCAAGTTCAACTTCAATAATTTGAGGATCACCAAAAACAGGTCTAAGCTCATCTAAAGTTTTTTCTGTTTGTGACATCCAGACTAATAACTCATCTAATGCGTGTTGGAATTGACCCAATCGCAGAAGAGCATTTTCTAATTCTCTCTAAAAAATTTTTATTATTAAAATTAATTAAAAAAAAACCTAAAATTGTAAATTTATAAAACTGATTTGATTAATTTTCAAAAATATACCTGTCTATCAACAATACCCTTCAGCAAGTCATCCCAACGATGATTAATATCTGCCAACGGTTCTCTTATAGTTCTTGCTTGTGTAGGAGAAGTACGTTCCATTAATTCCTGTGCTTGTCGATTTAATGCTTCAACTTCAATCATGTGTGGATCCACTTCTTGTTTAAAATCCTATATATTTTTAATAGTAGTAATAATTATGTTTAGCTCTGTAATTAATTATTATGTAATAAGAGCAATTTTTAGTAAATGATATACCTTTAATTCATTAATTTGTTCCTTTACTGTTTCAATATCTTGTTCTAATGGACCTAAATCAGAAAATTTTTCTTCTGCTGAATCCAGAAATTCTAGAAGATTCTGCAATTAAACAAGTAAATTTTAAATTTTTATGAAATTAGTTCTTTATAGTACAGTAAAATCTCGTTATTTCGAAATTCAGGGGACCAAAAACACACGACTTCAAATTATCTGGGATCGAATTAGCCAAACTTTTTTTGAATTGAATTTTTTTGTAATTCTCAAATAAAGTTATGACATTATCTTATATAATTTTACCTGTTTGGTTACAAATGTGTTGATATTATGAATTAATATTACTTAGCAATTTAAGCTATTTTGAAATAACTGTCATTTGGTACATACTTAATGAAAACAATGAAAATGTAACAAAGCTATATTCAAAGCAAGACCTGAAAATAATATACAAAAGAAGCTTAAGTGCTTCAATAAGAATTACCCTTAAATTTTATCTAGAGGACCCATGGCTAGTTCTATGAAGAAATCATCGTCTTTAGTTTAAGATTATGAAAATCTTGTGATCTGATGAAAACAAGCCCTATTAACAGCTAAAGCTATAAGTATGCATTCATTCTTGAATACGCAAGTGTATTTAATGGATTTTAGAATTATTGAAACAATAGATTTTTGAAAAAAATGTTCAAAATAATTAAATGCCAAACAATTTCTTCCATAAAAATAAAAAATTCTCTCTTCATTTGCAATTTGTACAATGTCCAATTGACCTTGAACAAATGTCCAATAAATCAAAAATGTGTGAGTAGTGAAACCAATGCTTTGGCATGAAAACTTTTCTTATAAACACATAATACAATGAAAAATTTCAAATTAAACAATGTTTTTGCTGGTCACTGGACCAGATAATATCTTCAAATTTCATTGTATATATATTTCAAATTATCTGAACCAAAATAAGTGCAAAATCCCATTCTCTTGACCTGGGACTGGACTAGACTTTGAATTACAGTAATACCTCAGTTTTCATTGACTTCGGTTATTGTTGGTTTCGATTTTTGTCAATTTTTTCTGCGAACAATTTGTCTCAGTTTTTGTTGGTTGCCTTGGAATTTCATTGGTGCACCTACATGACCTCCTGCTAATTTTGCAAAAACATAGGGCAATGTGTTTTCCTACTCAGTGGGGCATTGTTTCTTGTTGTATGAGCATTACCCTGTGCATCTAGCCAAACAATTCTATTCCTTTCCTTTTAGCTCCATCATGGGACCAAAGAAAGTTTCCAGAGCCAATAGCCCTTCGAATGTCATGTTAGATGTTCATTTATTCTTTACATTAGTTTTTTATATTCATTTTATATTAATTTCTTATTGTTTTTAGTATTAAACACAATATTTATTCACTATAAAATGTGTTTTTGATATGTATTTTGGAGTGTTTAGAACAAATTACTTGGATTTACATTGATTCATATGGAAATAATTGCCTCAATTTTCATCGGTTTTGGATTTCACCAACTGTTTTCAGACAGATTATCAATGAAAACCGAGGTATCGCTGTATCTGATATTGAAATAATGAGGTTTCACTGAATATCAAAAAAAATTATTTTATAAAATTTTAACTAAATACATTTTATATAACTATAGTTAGTGTTTACTATTTTAACATGTGTTAAAATATACTTAAATATAGTCAGATATGTTAAACAACAACATAAAACATGTTTTTAAATGCAAAAAAAGTAATGTAATTCAATTCAAATAATTAATGATTAATTAAATCCACAATATAAAACCATTAATTAATTGTTCAAAAACAATAAGAAAATTAAGATAAAAAAAATTATAAATTTAAATAGCTTATACATATACAGTTGTCCCTTGATAATCTGACAGGTATGGGACCAAAGGTGTGTCAGATTACCAAAAGTGTCCGGATTACCGAAAATAATTACATATTTCGCATTGTTTTGCTAGCAGTAACTTACAATATTCTCTACTCCAACTGTTCGAACAGAACTGCTCACATAAAACACACGAAATGTGTGTCATCGAGTAAGAATTGGATGGGGAGATTCACATCGCGACATGCTTCTGTGCAAGCAGACACGTAACGGGGACGGGTACCTTGACGGGAGGTGCGTCGGACTACTGAGCATGTCGGATTAAAAAACGTCGGACTATAGAGGGACAACTGTATATATTATAGAACAGTTTTTAAGTACAGTATAAAATATTTGTGCTTATTTGAATTTTTGTAAATATTTCTGTAGGTGGCACAAAAAAAAAAAAAACCATTTCAAAAGAGTAACAGCCAACAGATGATTATACACAAAAAATGTATTCAAGTTTTTAAGTCTTTTTGCTAAGAAGTAAATATATATGTATGTCATGCTCTCAGCATATACATATATGTAAAAGCTTTTTGAACTGTATATAGCTAAAAAAAAAGGGCTTGACAACTTTGAAAAACATATAAAGTTTTTATCAGAAGACTTACAAAACTGATTGAATTGTTAATTTAGAGCAAAGCACATTGAGTTTGTCTCATATAGTGCAGAAATGTTGCATTGGATTGAGAAAATATTCCAGGACAATGTTATCTTCAGCAATGTGTTGACATTTCATCTTAGTGAGCACAACTACAGAATTTGGGACTTCAAAAAACTATAAGCAACCATGGAACATGCTCATAACAGAAAATTCTCTCATTCTGCAAAAGTATGAATATACTTTCAGCAAAACAGCATACTATTCCATCAGGACCACTGAGAGAAAGGAAGCAGGGAATTTTCCCGACCTGGAGAAAACTTAGAGCAATAGTGCCCTAAAGTGATGCTATATAGTAGTTATTTTTAATAAACTAAAATCTTTAAGAATGTGTTTTATTAATAACAATAATAAAAACAAATATTTACGTATTTCATTTGTTCAAAAAATGACAAAAAGAAGTCCATTATATTTCTGGGCTCTCAATGGCCTTGCACTCACTATCATATGAATGTCCAGGATTTCCTCAATAAATGTTTCCCAAGTCAGTGGATTGGTCAAACAGAACCAATGACATGGCCACCTTATTTTCCAATTTGACACCTCTCAATTTTTCATTAAAAATCTAGTGTTTACTCCATCCATGCCTGAAAATCTCACTAAGCTCAAAACTTGAATCACAGTCACAGTCACCAAATTGACAACTGATATAGAGGTTTGAATTTGGCAAGAAATTGAAATCAGGTGAAATGGCTACTACATCATCAATAGTACTCACATCAAACCAAAATTACTGTTTGAGATAAAACTTGATGTGTTTTATTATAAATTAATATCTCAATTAATTTAATTAAGTTTTCTGATGCTTTCAAAGTTGTACAGTCTTTTTTGAATTACCTTGTAAATGTGCATATTTACATATATAGCGTAATGTGTGTGTATGTATATATAAAAGTCATTGAAATGTATAGTTTTATGTACATTACATGCTGTATATATTAAAAAATTTGAATAATTTCAAATACCTGAAGGATACCATGGAAGTTCATTGCTTTTTCCATTGCATCTACGAGATTTTGTTCTCGCTTAGCATATAATGAAGTAACATTTTCCCAAGCAGAATCCAAATCTTCAATGTGTTTTTTGACTTCTGGTTTATCTGGTTCTCCACATAATTTCATCAATCCTTGACCTGCAAGACGACAATGATCCACCTCTGGTTTGGTTTGTTCAATTTCTTGTTTGATTTCCTGTTATATGGAAGAAATGAAAAATCAAATAAAAAACAAATAGTCTATTTAAATGTTAAATGAATATTTTAATAAAATAGCATTCCTATAAATTCTAATTTATTTTTAACATCTAATTTTTACATACCTGCAATACTTCTTTTTGTTGCTGAATTGCATTTGGTTCTACAGCTGGAGGCTCTTGTGAGTTTAAGTTATCTTGCAATTCTGTTAATGCTTTCATCACAGCATTTAATTCATCCCAGAACTTCTCCGCTGCAATCATAGCATCTTCTAAAGATCGCCCTCGGGTACGAGCAGCTTTTTGGATTGTATCCCATAAATCACTAAGTCTGTCAAGTTTCTTTTTGATATCTGAAATTTTATAGATTTAAATAATTATACACACATACATACATAAATACATATATATTTTATTATATTTTTTAAACAATTAAAGCCATACCAAGTACTAAAAAAGGAATTTAAANTAATTTATTTAACTCAAAATATATGCTCTCCATCTTCAATTAGTATTTACTTGCCCCTGTAAATCATACTTTTCCTTTAGCAGTGGAGTTGTGCCAGTCAGCTATCTAACTCCATTCTCGAGATTAAGGAAACAAACAGACATATCTTCTTTATCAATTTTCTACAATTATTTATAAATATTTTTCATTTTTTTTCCGTTCTGTAAGCACTTAGAGTGGCCTTATTATTATGCCCAACATGGGTGTGATAAGCCCACAATGGGACGGAACGGTAATGATGGAAGGAATCCAAAATATCCAGAAGAGATAAGCCCTGAAGAATATGTTATATATAACATATAGTAATATATTATACAGTAATTTTTATTCACAACTGCATACCTACTTTTGTATCCCTATGTATAATAGTACTTTCCCTCTTATATATAACAGAGACGTGAGAGTAAAAATTCATTTTTTATGGTCACTCGTAAAACCTATTTTAACATAAATACATATATATAGTACTTTCCCTCTTATATATAACAGAGACGTGAGAGTAAAAATTCATTTTTTATGGTCACTCGTAAAACCCATACATACATAAATACATATATATTTTATTATATTTTTTAAACAATTAAAGCCATACCAAGTACTAAAAAAGGAATTTAAAAAATTTACCTCTCACAGCAGGTTCTTCTGAATCGCCAGCCTTGGTAATTACATCATCAGCAGCTCGTCTAACTGCTTCTAATGCACTTGAACGTTTATCTAAATCTTTCAAAACAGCCTTATTATCACAGATTTGTTCATGTATTTTTTCTGGATGAGCAGATATTGGTTCAGCATTATTAAGCTGTTCTGCTGTAGATGATAATGCATTTAGCATTCCATCTAATTTATCAGAAAACTGTAATATATAAAATAATTCATGTTAAAGATGTAAAGAAAATAATGGACAATTTTTAGACATAAAAATACCTGAGAAGTTGCCTGCAGAGCTTCATCAAGAGCATCTTGCCATTCACGAAGTGCCATTTTTAAGCTGTTGTAGCGATTATTATCCAGATCTAAAATTGCTTGGACTTTATCACCTTCATCTGCACTGCAAAGCTTTTTCAAAGCAATAGCAGTCTTGTTTAATTTATCCAAGAGTGGTTTATGTTCATTAACTGATTGCAATAATCCCTAAATGAAATTTAAAATAATTTACTTTTATAAATTCTGTAATATATTTGAATAATTAAAAATTATTTAATGATAAATATTAACTTTATTCCTATCTTGAAGTTTTTTGATTTGATGAGCATTCAAGGCAGGAGTTTCTAAAAGTTCAGCTTCAGATTCCATTTCATCTAACCATTGACTTATATCTGCATGAGTTTCAAAGAAATGTTCAGCAAGAGGGAGTGCTTGTTCCAAGGCACTGAGGCGATCAGCAGAAAGAGCTGATACAGTATTTACTACATCTTTAAGCTCATCGGCTTTATCTCTGATATGGGCTAAATCATCACTCGAAGACTCTCTCATTAATTTCTTGGCTGAGGCAAGTATGTCTCGAACACGTCCTTTTTGACTGCTGACTTCATCGTTTAAGATCTATCCAAATCAAATTCCGTAATTATTTTTATTTATTTAATTACATATGTCAATAAATAATTACAATTTACCTTTTGTTCTTTTAATAAGGCTGCTAAAGAATCTGGATCAACAATGAGAGGTTCTGCTTCCAACATCTGTTTTTCAGCTTCATGAAACCAATCCAATATTTCATCAATATCTCCAATAACCTACAAATATAAACATTAATATTCAAATATATATATTTTTAATTTTAATAGCTTTAAAAATTAATTTTTTTAAAATACTTATACTGATTACAATTTTGTTACCTATTTTATATAAATTTCTTGGATAAAATATGAATTTCAAATATTTATTAATGTAATGCAAGCTTATAAAAATGTATTAAGAGTCTTGAAACTTACTTCTACATTTCTTTGTTTAGAAAGATCAATTCTTTCAGCTTTACGCTGTACTTGTTCACAAATAGTATCAAAGCGGCGATTGTCATGAGAGATAAGACCTTCAATAACTGTAGCTCCATCACCGGGAGACATTTGACACAATTGTGGACCAAGATGATTTATTGTCTCAATCAAAGGCCTGTATTCCTGAATTTCTGTTTCTAAACGCTATTTGATAAACATAGAAATGAATTTCAACAATATAAAAAATTACTTGTAAAAATTTATGTATAAAATATTATATATACACTTATAGTTGATTCCTGAACTCTAAGTCCAACAGTTTCCAAAGTTTTCAAATCCTTTTCAGCTTCATTCATCCAACTTATTAAGCGTTCATGAGAACTGTGGAAATTCTGAACAACAGGTAAAGTTTCCTGAGCTTGTCTGAGTCTATCAGTAGCTTTACTCGTTAGATCAGAAAATTTGACTTGCAACATATCAAGTTTTTCTTTCATTCTAATAACATCATCACCTAAAATATTTTTTAAGTATTGAGTATTAAATTTTATTAACTCTAAAATAAATAACATAATTTTTATGGAAAAAGTCACTACAGGAAATCCTCGTTAATTTGAACTCAAATAGTTCAAAATTCCATTAGTTCATAACTGTACTTTTGTCATGGCCAAGGATATAGAGTTTTACATCTTACGGAATTTGGTTAGTTTGAAATATGGCTACTTTGAAATTCAAAGTGAAAATTCTGTCTGAACTGTGATATGGCTATGTTAACTCATTCATTCATTTAGATTGAAGTGCCTCCATGCAATAAGAGAACAATAGACCAAGAACAACCCTGATCTGGTCAATATGACTTTGCTTTTACAGTAACACATTTTCGGATGTCACCTTACCCATGGACTACACTTTTTTCTCTTATTTCATATAATATGGCTAGTTTTCGGGAGTGAAAGATTGGGCTACAAATAGCAAACTGAAATATGTGTAGGGCTTTAGATCAATACATTTGGGTGACTTACTACTTTTTGACCACTTTTAAAAATAATTTGGACTACATTTTGAGGAATTCTGCTTAACTTTTTATAAAACCTATCTGGCAATCTGTGAGGTTTTCACCAGACGTGTTGTTTATCTTCACATTTATATTATTATTATTAATTTCTAATTAATAAATTATATAAAAAATATGGCATTTGACACACATGTAAATTCAAGACTCAGTAATTTGAAATTGTGATTATTTCATCCCTTGAATTTTGAACTAACGAGGATTTCTTGTATTAAAAAAAGTTTATTATGTGTGTCTAATAATCCATCTTAGAACGTTTATATAAAGAAGAACTAGAGGTACTGGTACCTATGTTTACAATACTCAAGATTGTTATCTAAAAAAGCAATTCCCTGATTCCCTGTCATCAGCATAAGATAGTAATGTATCTAAACTGAATATTCCTAAGAATTCAATTTAAAGAAGAGAATTCTGTAGTAGGTTAAAAATCAGAAAGGACAAGAATCTGGTATTGAGATTTAAATCCATAACATGTGAATGGCAAATGGATACTGTATCGTTTGAATCTTTCAATTTCTCATTTAATAATAATAATTATTTATATATTTAACAAAAATTTTTCATTCTAATCTGTACAAATCTGTGTTATAAACATATAATTTAAATGCTAAATCTTAACAAATATCTATATTGGCAGATATGAAATTTGAACTCATGATCTGGGAGAAAAATAAAACATTATACTAGACTTCATTAATGAGTACATTTGGAAATTAAATAAACATATTAAAAACGTTTTAAAATTATTTTCATTGAAATTTTAATTTTTGTAAAAAAAAAACCATGAAAAGCATAGATTTTATGGTCTGAATAGCTTCAATTATTTAGCATAAACTAATTGCATTTTTAAAAATGTTACATTTGAATATGTACCAGAACAATATTTATTAAAATTTTGAATTTAGAAATTGATCGGATTGCATAAAACATGGCAAACTCCAAGTGGGGCACCATATATGAGGGTTTTCTATGGGATACTGTCCTATTAAACCTGTAAACAAAAACTTGAAAAACCTGCAACTTGCTTGTTAGTCAGGCATGAACTGACAACCAGAGTTTAGTGGATTTATCTATCTACTTAAGACTCTAATTTAAAAATTGATTTGTAAAAAAACTATTAAAATAAACACAGGAAAAGATTTATCTTAAAAAAATGGAAAATATATTGCTAAAGTATCAAAGATGATGATAAATACACCTGCTACAAAATGAGATTCAGATTGCTGATCTCTGAATAATTACAATACTTTGTAAGATATTTAAGTGATTTATTTGATTAAGATAAATTCAAATAATAACAGGCAATTGCATATGGAAAGAGTCCTGAAGGTATTTTTGATTTAAGTAATAAATTTAAAAATGATTAAATATTTTTTATCATAGCACAATAAACAATAATTACTAGTACTGACTAATAGTTCTAATGTTTTTGCTTACAAATTATTAATATATTTTACATCATTTTAACTTATGAACAAACTGCAGAATCACATAATAAACACCATATACATTCTAAGTTTATGAATTATGTTATTTCTTTTCTTGAATTTTATTATTATAAATCTTTTATTACAATTAATTTTTGGAACAATTTCTTAATATATTGAAATTTTTATGAAATAATTTATTCATTACTAATATTTTATTTTTGAGTAAAAATTATAAAAAATTATTTATGAGTTTTTTTAATAATGATAATATAATGTTATAATTAAATAACTTAATAATTACCTGATGCATGTTTCATCATTTCTTGACCAGAATTAACAGCCTCGCTTACTTGCTTTTGATGATCAGCTATTTCTTCACTTAATTCCTAAATTATTGATAGATAAAAATCAATTCAGATAAATTTTATTTTAAACATGTTGCTAATGATAAAAAATACTTACAATAAGTTCATCCAATTGTTCTTGTAACTTCTCAACATACACACTCAGAATTTGATAGCGGGATAAACGAGATACCATTTCATCAATCCAAGCCATTAAATCTTCAAAATTGATAAGGAAGCTTCCTATTCCTTCATGAGCTTCAGATAATAATTGACCAATGTGTTCACTTTGTTCAACTATTTTTGCATAATGATCTGTTATTTCTTGTAAACGCTCCACAACTGTCTGTGCTTCGTCATCTCCAACTAAACTCATTAACATTTGTGCTAATTCAGTTAGCTCTTCAAAAGCTTCTTTATGATCCATTATATCATCATGAAGAGCCTAATGATATAAAAATAGTTTAAATTTGATAAAATTAAACTTTAAATATAACTGAAATTTAGTTTTAATTACTTTATACATACCCCATGTTCAGCAATACGTTGTCGCAATTTTTCTCTTTCAATTGGAACAGTTGCCATAGTAGCTAATCTCTTTTCTGTTTGTTCTAACCATTCAGCCAAAGGTGTTAATTTTTCTTGGAAATCATGGGCTACTGGAATTGTTCTTTCTAAAGCATCAGTACGTTCTTGAGCACCAGTAATTAAATCTTCAAACCTATGCATTAGATTTTTTAATTGTCCTTCAACTTGTGCTTGCTCATAAGGTTGAAGATTGCGCATGACTTCTGTTCCCATAGTCATTAAAGATGACATGCTTCCTTGCCTATCCAACAGCAATTTATTCAAGAACTAAGAAGAAACAATTAGTTAATTTAGATATTTTACTAATCATCATTAGAAGTTTTTAATTTCAAATTTCACTAACTTTCTGTTCTTGAAGTTGTGCTTTTACAACTTTATAATCAGCAGAAGGAGGTTTCTGATTTGCTACCATATCTTCTGTATCTTGAAGCCACTTTTCCACACCTGCTAAAGCTTCTTGGAATTTTCCTGACTGAAGGAGAGCTACATCTAGTCGACGTTCTCTATCATATAACTACAAAATAAATATTATTAGCATATTGTTTGTTACAACATTTATTTAAGTATTAAATACAGCTTTTAAAAAAATAAACATTACTATTAAAATTGATCCATAATAAACAGATACAATATTGAATACAATAGAATATTAAATATTATATTGTATTTTATATTCAGTTGTAAGTTAGATTAATTGAATATATAAGAACTATTAAAAGTTTTCTGACTTTTACGATAAGTTACTTTTATTTTTTGTTTTCTTATCTTTAGATCAATTTAATGATCTAATAAGATTCTTTTAGTAAACTAAAAATATTTAAATATTATCACATACTTTTTCTTTTAAACTGTTCCATTTATCATTGAGCTTTTCTAAATCTTGTTCTAAATTATTAGTTTTAACACCAGGAGCTGCTGATTGAATAAGGCTTTGTCCAGTTTGATTAATCTCATCAACTTCCTTATTAAATTCATCCATACAATATCCTTGAAATATCTAAAATTAAAAAATTTAATGAATCAGAATATTATCAAAATATTTTAATTTTTGAGAATAAAATAAAATACACCTTAGACAAAATAAATTACCTTAAATTCTTCTTGTTGAATTTTAACCATTTCAATTTCTCCTCCAACAGCAGAAAATGACTTTTCTTTGTGAATAGCATCGTTCAAATTTTGAGTCGTTTCATTGTAATTTTTATAAAATTGTTCCAAGCGTTTTGACATGGTCTCTAAATTGTTCTGACGTGTTTTTGCCCTTTCATTGATACGATTCAATTGGCGTTGTAAATTTGCTAACTAAAAATCATTAAATAATTTTACAGAATAATTCATTTTTTTAACAGAATAAATAACTAACTATAAAATGTAATGAATAGAATAATTTATTAATAGCCTTATTGATATGTGATTGTTTTTTGGAAAAAAAAATCACACAAAACTGAAAATAACAATTTACACTATTAACCTTGTGATAAAGTATGATAAAATCAATTTCAAATTAAAAATTAACTGAAACTTTAATAAAATCTTTATTTAAAGCATAAAAGGAATTTAAAATAACTGTTCACTCAGCAACATTCAAATGCTAATTCAAAATTATTGTGTAAAAATAACAATACATACTCAAGTAATCTTGAAAAAGCAGCAAAAATTTAGTAATTAAAAGGTTTTTGGATGTATTTAGTGATCATCTTCCAGTAGAATACATAATAGAATGCCACAATGTAATATTCTAGAATATTATTATCCAAACTACCATTGTGGCATTCCATTATGTATTCTACTGGAAGAAGGTTGCTAAAACCATTTTTCAAAAATCCAAAAACATTTGTTATCATTCCAATACTATTAATATTTACAATTGCTAAGACAATATTAGTGTAATTTAGTAATAAAAACAACTAAACACCAAAAAATTAGCAACTAATGTACATATATAAAAAAAACAAAGGTTTTTTTTTTCTTCTGTTTTAAATAGTCATCTTCAGAATAGACTGCAAAAGAGATTTTTTAATTACACAATCAAATTTTAAAAACTAAAATATTATAAAAACATTTTAGTTTCATTTGATCTTGAACAAAAACAGTAACTGCAAATGTAATTTTTATTTTTATTTTCAGTTTTATGTGATAAATATCAACAAACTTATGAAAGTTATTGATAATAATAATAGTAATTTATATTGTTCATATACAGTTAATTAATTAGAACTAAAAAATTATGAGAGCTGTTTTTTTTTCAAACCCCGATGGTCCATAAAACAAAGACAAGTGTAAATAACAAAATGAATTAATTACCAAAAGTTAGGTACAAACATGGTTACTTTTCGACATAATCACTGTGAAGGTTGAGAAATTTTGTCATATTTGTGGACAAGCATGATTCCACATTCCATTCCTTTGTCATAGCATGTTGCCGCCAGTGAATTGAGATGGCTTTAACAACATTATTTTGAAGATCGTCATTAGTCTCAAACCTCTGCCCTGCTAGCCAAGTTTTCAATTCAGGAAAGAGGTGGAAGTCTTCACACATTAAAAAGTTTTAAGCTGGGTGGAAGTCTTCACCACCTTTAAACACCCAGCATATATCCCTGATTTGGCACCAAGCAACTCCATCTCTTTCCTGAACAGGAAAATTGGCTAGGAAGACAGAGATTTGAGACTAATAACGATCTTCAAAATAATGTTAGGGCCCATCTCAAGTCATTAGTGGCAACATTCTATGACAAGAGGATGGAAAAGCTTGTCCACAGATATGACAAATTCTTCAATCTTCATATTGATTATGTCAAAAAGTAACCATGTTTGTACCTAACTTTTGGTAATAAATTCATTTTGTTATTTACACTTGTCTTTGTTTTATGGACCATTGGAGCTTGAAAACAACACCCTATGTATATTTAAAATCAAAACTTTTAAAATAAAAATAATAATTTATGATAGACAAAAATCAACCTATAATTTTTTATTATAGTTATTTAAAAAATTATTTTATTTATTTATTTTTTAAATTTTAATTCTATAAATAGCAATTACCTGATCTTTACATCCTTTAGGATCTGGAACAAAACCCTGAGATACAATAGTATGACCCTGATGTTCTGCATCTACAAAGTCTTCTTGACTTTTCCCCAAAATTCTAAAGAAATCCTATTTATAATTGAAATTTAAAAAAAGTTAAAAATGAACTTTTTTATAGTTTATGATGTACAGTTATTTTCTAATTACAACTAAACTGTTGAATTTTTGAGCTAATTTATGCTAATTTTTAATTAATTAAATAAATAATTTAGAAAATTCTAAAGGAAAAGATCATCCTAGAGCAGTATTCAAATCCATAACTTATGCTTGCTTATTTTACAGATTCATTATCAATGTAACTGGTAATGCATTTAGATAGGAAATAGAAAAGCCCTATTTAGTAAGTAGCAGAAATTGAGTCATGTGAATCTGCATTGTCAGCTGCTTAACATTTATGTGTATTTGACAATTCCAAATTCTTCTCAGACAATCTGAAAGTGATCATAAAAGCCTGCAAGCATTGCATTCAAAAAGATCTTACATGTGCCAAGTGAGATTAACAAACTCCTGAAAAAGATGATCTCTGAGATACTTTAATATTTAGTGTATTTGTTCTACTAAAAACAATTTAATATATTTGAAACAAATTACCAATTGTTTATACTCTATTTTCAACAATTTTCATTACTTTTGAAGTAATCTGCCTAATTGTTTAACAAGTATTTGCAAGTACTTTTCTTTTAATCTTTTTTTTTTTTTGTAATAACTTCAATGTTTTCAATTCCAAATTTTCATATTCTTGATATAAACTTTGTAATTAGTAAGTTTGTATAAAACAGTTTGTTGATAATGTAACCACCATATTTTAAAGTGCACATGTAATTGAGTCATATTATGCAAGTCAAATAATGCTTTAAATCAATTAATCCATCCTGCATTTACAATCATAACAATCCAATTTTTCTGATTATCTGCAACACAATTGTGCAGATATGGATGTGTATCACTAGACTGAAGTGCAGTTGTTTAAACAAAGCAGAGTGAAAATGTTGTGTGAAACTTTTGTGAGTGACAGATCTCAGTTCCTTATGTTTTGTCTATATTTGGCTTAAAATACCTGGATCTCTGTCTAATCTCTTTGTTTCTGGAAATATATTAATCAGAATTATAAAACTACACAAGTTAATTGCTTCATCTATATATAAAATTTTAAATAAAATACATTTGAAAATATTTAACATGTATGTATGTGTACATGTGTAACAATAAATGATTGATATTAATTTTAGAAAATCATTTCTTATCATGTAATTAATTTTGCTTTTTAAAGTAAAGATTGATTTACATTAGATCATTTGTTTGATTATTTTAACTGTGCACTAAAGAATGAATATTTTCTTAAAGCACTAAATAGTTAATACAATATTTTATAATAATATATAATGTAATATAATACAATAAATATAGTAATAATGCTACATTTTATACAATTTTAACAATCAAAATATACTTACAATACTTTTTGATGAAATTGCATTTACACACAGAAAAAATTATAATTAAATATTAAAAAAAATTACACTTAAATCTATAAAATCATTTATTCTAATGATTTACTTATCAACTTCAATCTGATGTTTGTTTATATAAAACAATGAATTTAATTTTCAATGTTAAATATTTTAATATAAACATTCAATCTAACCAGCTGCCAAATACATTACTTTTATAGTAATGTATTTGGCAGCATGTCAGATGAAAGTTGATTTGTCTGCTAACAGATGGTTTTAGACAAAAATATCACCTGTCAACAAACCAGACAAATAGAATTCCATATGACAAATCCTATAAATAATAGTTTAAAAGAATGATAGTGTCAGATTATTTTGTCATCGTGTAAAATGGAAATCATTAATTAAAATAATCTTCTTCTTGACCTATATAAATAGAAAAAACTTTCCTGAGGAGAATGTATATACAGTACATTGTTTTTTTCATAATTATTATGACGTAAAGAATTTTTAAAAATCTAATTTATAATTATGGTTTGTTTCATTATAGTAAAATTATTTAAGTTTTAACTGAAAATTATTCTCCTTAAATTTAAAAATCAATTGTACTGGTGACTCGATGTTCCAATACTCAAGAACTAAATAGATATTTTACTATGGTATAGAATATTCTAGAAAAATATGATATAGAAACTAAACAGAAACCTGAATCACATCAGTACAAATGCAAATTGTACTGTAGGGTAAGAAAAAATTATCAATGTGAAGTAATAAACATAAATTTTAAATGTAAACTGTTTTTTAAAGTCAACTGTTTTTCAATTTAAAAATCATATTCTCACTTAAAATCTGCTTAAAATGAGGGAAAAAACACTATTCAATAATGTCAGACCCAATCCCTCACTTCATACTGCTAAAAGTCCTAAATGTCCGCAGGACAGGGTTAAAAAAATTTACACAAGTGAAATTCTCTATTTAAAATACTCAAAAGCAATAGAGTGATCAATTCAAATGTAAAGAAAAAAAATTCTTTATGAATAAGTTTTATTTGTTACTAAATTTAAATAATTATTTAATAACTAGCCAATGTACTGTACTTAGTGATACTTGGATTATCTTAAATAACATTGAACAATTCAACAATGAAAAACATTTGAAAACTACACACAGTTTTGTTAAACATTGGTATATGTAGTAGATAATGACTATATAGGCCAGTATTAAAAAATTGCTTCTGTCACAGCTTTTGTAAACTCATAACAAAAAACACATCCACATAAGTTAAAATGAATTTAGCTTGACCAACACTTAAAATACTCTTTTCAGAAAGACTAATTTATTTAAATGAACATTTTCAACCTTTTTTCAAAGGTCTAAAATAAATTAAAATCTTGTTTGTTTAAAGGTTTGGAGAAGGGGTTTGTTTAAATAAATTAAAGTCTTGCTGAAAAGAGTATTTAAGGTGTTGTTCAAGTTTAGTAAATTCATTGTTTCTCTTTAGATTCCCTCTTAATAAAATAAATATTGTTTTACTTGTGTATCTTTGTAAAGACTCACCCTAATGTATTTTATAGAAATATTTGTCAAGGTTAAAGCAAGGAATGAGCAAAGAATTGTAGGATAGATTGATAATATTAATAACAATCCCTATGATCTCATGCTGGAATTGGAGCAGAAAAGTGATAGAGAGAGTCAAAGTTAAAAATTTCTCTGAAATAATGAAGAAAGCAATTCTTAGTAGAGCAATCACAACAACAATTAATTAAGTGCAATAAAATGTTTTAAGATAATATATTTCAAGAAGATTAATTATATTTTAAAGAAATATCAAAAGTAGATGAAAAATAATATTAATAAGATTTTTTAAATACTCTTAAAATATTAACATGACATTAAGTTCTTCCCTTAGAAATGGTAAACTAAATTACTAGTAATCAGGCAAAGAGACACTGATTAAGTAGTAGGATATCATCTGATAATACATGGCTGATTTTAGCCAGTAGTGCATCCTTGTTTGGAATATGTGTTCTTACTAATGTCATAATTTCTTTGATAAAATGAATTTTTATGGTCAATTGAAAGAATTTTGTGAAAACCCACAAAATTCTGGGTTTTCACAAATTTTTCTGTACAATATGATGGGAAGGATTTATAGGAAAGTATATAAATCAAAAGAAAAATAAATTTCCAGAAAATCTAAAGAGAAAAGAAGACAAAATTCAATGATACCTGCACAGATAAAACACTGTCACAAACAAAATTTCTCTTTTGCTTATTAGATAGTAATTATTAGCTATTTTATTTAATCAATCATATTTCTGATTTTACAAAAATGCAAATCTCTCTTATTTTGTGTTTTATGTTATGTACATTTATTTAATTTAAAATATATGCTCTCCACCTCAAATTAATAGTGTATTATTGCTTTAGATTATTTATGATAAGAATACATAATTTTAAATAGTAATTTATTCTTATCATAAATGAAAAAAATGTTAAAAATAAAAGCCAAAAGTTTTAATATATTAAAGCCCAGGTAACTAAATATCTTCTGTGTAATAACTATCTTTCAAATTATTTTTTTAAATTAAAATTAATACATTAAAATATAACATATTTATACTTTATATCTTCAAAAATTTTAATTTACATAATCTAATTATCTTTATACAGGGTTCTTCATTAAAAGCTATAGAACTTTAAATTGTCACAGGCACAATATGATTGTTGGAGCAATTTAAATATCTGTTCTGTAGTGTTTGGAAAATCATCCTGAAAAGATTTAAAGTTCCTCAATGTGTTGAAATTATTAAAAGTTATTATCAAAATTCGTGTTCAATTCAGTCAACATTTTGTGCACTTCACTTGCTCTATGATCAATGTAACCAGCTAATGGAACTCATAATATGATTGTACTGTTGAAGTCAAAAATTAACTTCTGTTGAAATTATTGTATTATTGATGTCAGGAGTTTAAGTTCAGTGACAGGATTATTTCAAGAAATGTAGCTGTTAACTGGCTGCCATAAACTTGCAACTTAACTCTACTGAATTACTTTTTATGGTAGAACATTAAATCCCTTGTTTATTCCAACAAGCCACAAACTATTGATTCCTTAAAGTGAATATCATTTGTGTTATTGGAGAGATAAAGCCTGATTTATGTGCCAGGTCATCAAAAATTGGGTTCATCATATTCACTGTCAAATGCAATTTTGGAGCCATTTAAATTATATTAATTTTTTCATGTGTAATACCACTACATATACTATAAATAAAACAATTAGTAGCATATTTTGTTTTGTGGTTTTCATTTTATTTCAATTCAACATTCTATCACTTATTTCAAAACCCTATATTTATATATTATATGTAATATAATATGTAATATTTAAATTTATATTTATTTTTTACCTTCATTTCATTAATTTGAGCAGTGACTGTTCTTATATCTCTTGCAATTGGACTCATGTTGTCTAATTTTTCTTCTAGATCACTTAAATCATGTAGAACAGATTTTACTTTGTCCTTAAATAAATAAAAATAAAAAATTAAACATTTTTTTAAAAAACAATTATTATAATAGACTATTTAATAGATTATTACACAAAATTATAGAACTGTACTAAAAATTGATTATAAACTGCATGGATGAGAAGTTCAGAAATGATTTTCCAACTATCTATCCAATCCTTATTATATTACTCTCATAATTTATCATGGATAGCTATGATAAATCATGGGACTCTTAATCTGAATTCCCATAATGGTGGATTAACTCTATGATCAATCATCTTACAGTTCAGCTGTCTGACCAACATTACATTGCATTTAAAGTTACACTTTTTATACAATGTGCAATGTGTAAACAATGTACATTACACTATTTTTATTTATTTGAAATATGTAGAAAATAAATAAAAATACCGGTACATTGTTGTATAAAATTTTAACAAAAATTTTAAATGATGCAATTAATAATTAGAACTGTTTTATTTACTCACCATAAAATGCGATACTATTTCAGAAGCAGATTTCAAATCATCACAGCGATTTTCAAGATTCTGTGTTAATTTACGATGACGCTTTTCTAAAGCTTCAATTTCATCCAATATGTGACTGGTATCTGATTTAGACTTTGCATTTGAAATTAACTTGTCTGCATAAACATGTAACTGATCCAACTGTTTTTTAAGAGCATTAGCATCTGATAGCATCGTCTGAAAAAGTATATAATAAAAAAATTAATTCTTTCAAATATCTGTGATGGTAGCTGTTTATTCGTTCATACATATATATGTATAAAAAATTAACATTATGTCTTCCTTAAAAATGAATAATTAATAAACTTTTAAGAATAAATAAATATTTGATATTTGAAGAGAACAAATAAATTAAGAGAAATGATGCAAAATATTAACATACTAATTAAATAGTTATTTATTTAATATTTAATATACTTTAATAATTAAAATTTAATTGTTTATTTATAAATATTTTATTAGAAGTTGAATTTGAAATATACAATTTGATCTATCAAAAATCAGCTTATTAATATCTATATTTCTGTTAATAAAACTGTTATAAATTAAGACGAACTACCATTAAAAGACATTTATTCATTTGAAAATTTTCTTGACGATTTTTTTGGAAAAATCATGTTTTATGACAAAATATTGTTTTGTGAAGTAACTAAGTTCAAAACACGTAAAGAATTAATAAATGTATTGTGAAATCCGGAATTTTTACCAAATTTTCCGATTAATATCCCGCATTTTTCTAAACCCCAATTAAATTTTCCTTTAAACCCTAAACTAAAACCTAACTTAAAAAAAGGGAAAAATTCCGATCTCCCCTTTCGTTCAAAGTAAACATCCGTCCATTTCGAAACTAATCCCACATTCCAACTCCAAAGTTGATAGTTAGCATGGGCCTGGGAACAACTTTGACCCATCCGCGTACCTTTTACCTCACAACAATTGGTCACATGACCATTCTCCCACGACGAAACTATAAAAACCCCTTGCTTCCCCCTCTCGGGAGAGTCGTTCATCCGCTGTCACTTTAATACTGTGTCCTACGAATATTGTGTCCGACTGATATACTGTGTCCTATCGATATTGTGTCCTGCAAAATTATTATCCTTATCCTACCAACCCGTTAGATATCATAATCTTTTTCCTCAAAAATATTAAAAGACATAAAAAGGTATGGAACAAATTTTTGTGAACTCTCTCTCGACCCTTCGCATTTAAGGGACTCATATATTTCCCTTGAAATTAGTTATTGTAATATCTATGTAGCTAATAAATTGTTGTTATCTTGTTAAATTGGTGTCCTCTTTTACTCGTGTATCGCCTGTCTTCTTACCGACAGCACTCCTCCCTCCGCCACTCNAAATTTTAATTCTATAAATAGCAATTACCTGATCTTTACATCCTTTAGGATCTGGAACAAAACCCTGAGATACAATAGTATGACCCTGATGTTCTGCATCTACAAAGTCTTCTTGACTTTTCCCCAAAATTCTAAAGAAATCCTATTTATAATTGAAATTTAAAAAAAGTTAAAAATGAACTTTTTTATAGTTTATGATGTACAGTTATTTTCTAATTACAACTAAACTGTTGAATTTTTGAGCTAATTTATGCTAATTTTTAATTAATTAAATAAATAATTTAGAAAATTCTAAAGGAAAAGATCATCCTAGAGCAGTATTCAAATCCATAACTTATGCTTGCTTATTTTACAGATTCATTATCAATGTAACTGGTAATGCATTTAGATAGGAAATAGAAAAGCCCTATTTAGTAAGTAGCAGAAATTGAGTCATGTGAATCTGCATTGTCAGCTGCTTAACATTTATGTGTATTTGACAATTCCAAATTCTTCTCAGACAATCTGAAAGTGATCATAAAAGCCTGCAAGCATTGCATTCAAAAAGATCTTACATGTGCCAAGTGAGATTAACAAACTCCTGAAAAAGATGATCTCTGAGATACTTTAATATTTAGTGTATTTGTTCTACTAAAAACAATTTAATATATTTGAAACAAATTACCAATTGTTTATACTCTATTTTCAACAATTTTCATTACTTTTGAAGTAATCTGCCTAATTGTTTAACAAGTATTTGCAAGTACTTTTCTTTTAATCTTTTTTTTTTTTGTAATAACTTCAATGTTTTCAATTCCAAATTTTCATATTCTTGATATAAACTTTGTAATTAGTAAGTTTGTATAAAACAGTTTGTTGATAATGTAACCACCATATTTTAAAGTGCACATGTAATTGAGTCATATTATGCAAGTCAAATAATGCTTTAAATCAATTAATCCATCCTGCATTTACAATCATAACAATCCAATTTTTCTGATTATCTGCAACACAATTGTGCAGATATGGATGTGTATCACTAGACTGAAGTGCAGTTGTTTAAACAAAGCAGAGTGAAAATGTTGTGTGAAACTTTTGTGAGTGACAGATCTCAGTTCCTTATGTTTTGTCTATATTTGGCTTAAAATACCTGGATCTCTGTCTAATCTCTTTGTTTCTGGAAATATATTAATCAGAATTATAAAACTACACAAGTTAATTGCTTCATCTATATATAAAATTTTAAATAAAATACATTTGAAAATATTTAACATGTATGTATGTGTACATGTGTAACAATAAATGATTGATATTAATTTTAGAAAATCATTTCTTATCATGTAATTAATTTTGCTTTTTAAAGTAAAGATTGATTTACATTAGATCATTTGTTTGATTATTTTAACTGTGCACTAAAGAATGAATATTTTCTTAAAGCACTAAATAGTTAATACAATATTTTATAATAATATATAATGTAATATAATACAATAAATATAGTAATAATGCTACATTTTATACAATTTTAACAATCAAAATATACTTACAATACTTTTTGATGAAATTGCATTTACACACAGAAAAAATTATAATTAAATATTAAAAAAAATTACACTTAAATCTATAAAATCATTTATTCTAATGATTTACTTATCAACTTCAATCTGATGTTTGTTTATATAAAACAATGAATTTAATTTTCAATGTTAAATATTTTAATATAAACATTCAATCTAACCAGCTGCCAAATACATTACTTTTATAGTAATGTATTTGGCAGCATGTCAGATGAAAGTTGATTTGTCTGCTAACAGATGGTTTTAGACAAAAATATCACCTGTCAACAAACCAGACAAATAGAATTCCATATGACAAATCCTATAAATAATAGTTTAAAAGAATGATAGTGTCAGATTATTTTGTCATCGTGTAAAATGGAAATCATTAATTAAAATAATCTTCTTCTTGACCTATATAAATAGAAAAAACTTTCCTGAGGAGAATGTATATACAGTACATTGTTTTTTTCATAATTATTATGACGTAAAGAATTTTTAAAAATCTAATTTATAATTATGGTTTGTTTCATTATAGTAAAATTATTTAAGTTTTAACTGAAAATTATTCTCCTTAAATTTAAAAATCAATTGTACTGGTGACTCGATGTTCCAATACTCAAGAACTAAATAGATATTTTACTATGGTATAGAATATTCTAGAAAAATATGATATAGAAACTAAACAGAAACCTGAATCACATCAGTACAAATGCAAATTGTACTGTAGGGTAAGAAAAAATTATCAATGTGAAGTAATAAACATAAATTTTAAATGTAAACTGTTTTTTAAAGTCAACTGTTTTTCAATTTAAAAATCATATTCTCACTTAAAATCTGCTTAAAATGAGGGAAAAAACACTATTCAATAATGTCAGACCCAATCCCTCACTTCATACTGCTAAAAGTCCTAAATGTCCGCAGGACAGGGTTAAAAAAATTTACACAAGTGAAATTCTCTATTTAAAATACTCAAAAGCAATAGAGTGATCAATTCAAATGTAAAGAAAAAAAATTCTTTATGAATAAGTTTTATTTGTTACTAAATTTAAATAATTATTTAATAACTAGCCAATGTACTGTACTTAGTGATACTTGGATTATCTTAAATAACATTGAACAATTCAACAATGAAAAACATTTGAAAACTACACACAGTTTTGTTAAACATTGGTATATGTAGTAGATAATGACTATATAGGCCAGTATTAAAAAATTGCTTCTGTCACAGCTTTTGTAAACTCATAACAAAAAACACATCCAAATAAGTTAAAATGAATTTAGCTTGACCAACACTTAAAATACTCTTTTCAGAAAGACTAATTTATTTAAATGAACATTTTCAACCTTTTTTCAAAGGTCTAAAATAAATTAAAATCTTGTTTGTTTAAAGGTTTGGAGAAGGGGTTTGTTTAAATAAATTAAAGTCTTGCTGAAAAGAGTATTTAAGGTGTTGTTCAAGTTTAGTAAATTCATTGTTTCTCTTTAGATTCCCTCTTAATAAAATAAATATTGTTTTACTTGTGTATCTTTGTAAAGACTCACCCTAATGTATTTTATAGAAATATTTGTCAAGGTTAAAGCAAGGAATGAGCAAAGAATTGTAGGATAGATTGATAATATTAATAACAATCCCTATGATCTCATGCTGGAATTGGAGCAGAAAAGTGATAGAGAGAGTCAAAGTTAAAAATTTCTCTGAAATAATGAAGAAAGCAATTCTTAGTAGAGCAATCACAACAACAATTAATTAAGTGCAATAAAATGTTTTAAGATAATATATTTCAAGAAGATTAATTATATTTTAAAGAAATATCAAAAGTAGATGAAAAATAATATTAATAAGATTTTTTAAATACTCTTAAAATATTAACATGACATTAAGTTCTTCCCTTAGAAATGGTAAACTAAATTACTAGTAATCAGGCAAAGAGACACTGATTAAGTAGTAGGATATCATCTGATAATACATGGCTGATTTTAGCCAGTAGTGCATCCTTGTTTGGAATATGTGTTCTTACTAATGTCATAATTTCTTTGATAAAATGAATTTTTATGGTCATTTGAAAGAATTTTGTGAAAACCCACAAAATTCTGGGTTTTCACAAATTTTTCTGTACAATATGATGGGAAGGATTTATAGGAAAGTATATAAATCAAAATAAAAATAAATTTCCAGAAAATCTAAAGAGAAAAGAAGACAAAATTCAATGATACCTGCACAGATAAAACACTGTCACAAACAAAATTTCTCTTTTGCTTATTAGATAGTAATTATTAGCTATTTTATTTAATCAATCATATTTCTGATTTTACAAAAATGCAAATCTCTCTTATTTTGTGTTTTATGTTATGTACATTTATTTAATTTAAAATATATGCTCTCCACCTCAAATTAATAGTGTATTATTGCTTTAGATTATTTATGATAAGAATACATAATTTTAAATAGTAATTTATTCTTATCATAAATGAAAAAAATGTTAAAAATAAAAGCCAAAAGTTTTAATATATTAAAGCCCAGGTAACTAAATATCTTCTGTGTAATAACTATCTTTCAAATTATTTTTTTAAATTAAAATTAATACATTAAAATATAACATATTTATACTTTATATCTTCAAAAATTTTAATTTACATAATCTAATTATCTTTATACAGGGTTCTTCATTAAAAGCTATAGAACTTTAAATTGTCACAGGCACAATATGATTGTTGGAGCAATTTAAATATCTGTTCTGTAGTGTTTGGAAAATCATCCTGAAAAGATTTAAAGTTCCTCAATGTGTTGAAATTATTAAAAGTTATTATCAAAATTCGTGTTCAATTCAGTCAACATTTTGTGCACTTCACTTGCTCTATGATCAATGTAACCAGCTAATGGAACTCATAATATGATTGTACTGTTGAAGTCAAAAATTAACTTCTGTTGAAATTATTGTATTATTGATGTCAGGAGTTTAAGTTCAGTGACAGGATTATTTCAAGAAATGTAGCTGTTAACTGGCTGCCATAAACTTGCAACTTAACTCTACTGAATTACTTTTTATGGTAGAACATTAAATCCCTTGTTTATTCCAACAAGCCACAAACTATTGATTCCTTAAAGTGAATATCATTTGTGTTATTGGAGAGATAAAGCCTGATTTATGTGCCAGGTCATCAAAAATTGGGTTCATCATATTCACTGTCAAATGCAATTTTGGAGCCATTTAAATTATATTAATTTTTTCATGTGTAATACCACTACATATACTATAAATAAAACAATTAGTAGCATATTTTGTTTTGTGGTTTTCATTTTATTTCAATTCAACATTCTATCACTTATTTCAAAACCCTATATTTATATATTATATGTAATATAATATGTAATATTTAAATTTATATTTATTTTTTACCTTCATTTCATTAATTTGAGCAGTGACTGTTCTTATATCTCTTGCAATTGGACTCATGTTGTCTAATTTTTCTTCTAGATCACTTAAATCATGTAGAACAGATTTTACTTTGTCCTTAAATAAATAAAAATAAAAAATTAAACATTTTTTTAAAAAACAATTATTATAATAGACTATTTAATAGATTATTACACAAAATTATAGAACTGTACTAAAAATTGATTATAAACTGCATGGATGAGAAGTTCAGAAATGATTTTCCAACTATCTATCCAATCCTTATTATATTACTCTCATAATTTATCATGGATAGCTATGATAAATCATGGGACTCTTAATCTGAATTCCCATAATGGTGGATTAACTCTATGATCAATCATCTTACAGTTCAGCTGTCTGACCAACATTACATTGCATTTAAAGTTACACTTTTTATACAATGTGCAATGTGTAAACAATGTACATTACACTATTTTTATTTATTTGAAATATGTAGAAAATAAATAAAAATACCGGTACATTGTTGTATAAAATTTTAACAAAAATTTTAAATGATGCAATTAATAATTAGAACTGTTTTATTTACTCACCATAAAATGCGATACTATTTCAGAAGCAGATTTCAAATCATCACAGCGATTTTCAAGATTCTGTGTTAATTTACGATGACGCTTTTCTAAAGCTTCAATTTCATCCAATATGTGACTGGTATCTGATTTAGACTTTGCATTTGAAATTAACTTGTCTGCATAAACATGTAACTGATCCAACTGTTTTTTAAGAGCATTAGCATCTGATAGCATCGTCTGAAAAAGTATATAATAAAAAAATTAATTCTTTCAAATATCTGTGATGGTAGCTGTTTATTCGTTCATACATATATATGTATAAAAAATTAACATTATGTCTTCCTTAAAAATGAATAATTAATAAACTTTTAAGAATAAATAAATATTTGATATTTGAAGAGAACAAATAAATTAAGAGAAATGATGCAAAATATTAACATACTAATTAAATAGTTATTTATTTAATATTTAATATACTTTAATAATTAAAATTTAATTGTTTATTTATAAATATTTTATTAGAAGTTGAATTTGAAATATACAATTTGATCTATCAAAAATCAGCTTATTAATATCTATATTTCTGTTAATAAAACTGTTATAAATTAAGACGAACTACCATTAAAAGACATTTATTCATTTGAAAATTTTCTTGACGATTTTTTTGGAAAAATCATGTTTTATGACAAAATATTGTTTTGTGAAGTAACTAAGTTCAAAACACGTAAAGAATTAATAAATGTATTGTGAAATCCGGAATTTTTACCAAATTTTCCGATTAATATCCCGCATTTTTCTAAACCCCAATTAAATTTTCCTTTAAACCCTAAACTAAAACCTAACTTAAAAAAAGGGAAAAATTCCGATCTCCCCTTTCGTTCAAAGTAAACATCCGTCCATTTCGAAACTAATCCCACATTCCAACTCCAAAGTTGATAGTTAGCATGGGCCTGGGAACAACTTTGACCCATCCGCGTACCTTTTACCTCACAACAATTGGTCACATGACCATTCTCCCACGACGAAACTATAAAAACCCCTTGCTTCCCCCTCTCGGGAGAGTCGTTCATCTGCTGTCACTTTAATACTGTGTCCTACGAATATTGTGTCCGACTGATATACTGTGTCCTATCGATATTGTGTCCTGCAAAATTATTATCCTTATCCTACCAACCCGTTAGATATCATAATCTTTTTCCTCAAAAATATTAAAAGACATAAAAAGGTATGGAACAAATTTTTGTGAACTCTCTCTCGACCCTTCGCATTTAAGGGACTCATATATTTCCCTTGAAATTAGTTATTGTAATATCTATGTAGCTAATAAATTGTTGTTATCTTGTTAAATTGGTGTCCTCTTTTACTCGTGTATCGCCTGTCTTCTTACCGACAGCACTCCTCCCTCCGCCACTCGACCCGAAACATAAAATCCCGTTACAGCGGGAAAGGGATAAACTTTCATCCATCCTGACAGTGAGAAGGTTTAACAACCTGTTGCCGGATCGGGAGACCTACACCCTCCCGGTAGTTCACAGTATTAATATACTTTTATATACAAATAAATTTATTTATAAAATTTAAAATCAGCCTAATAAATGCATTATTAATGAATTTATAAAGAAAAAGTAGAAGTCAATCAAAGATAGCATAAATTCAAACAATGTTACATCTTTAAAACTGAAATATATGATGAATTTCATTTTAACTTTCATTTTATATATATTGTTTATGTAAGTTTATTTTTAAAAATTAATAATTTCTAAGTTTATGCTTAAACTTACTAATCTTTAAAATATAAAAAAATTATTATGCTTCTTAAAAAGTGATCTAACATATTAATTATTCATTAATGATCTTGTTATTTGTTTTTAATGAACATTTAAAACTACTTATGATAAAAATATATAATTATATATTATAATAATGAAAGTTTGTTTAACTTGTGTCACAACTGAACAAATGTACATTAATATACACAAAATTTTGATAACCTGCTTCACACTACAAACAACTAATATCCATTCTGATTATAGCATTTAGAAGGTATTGTATATATTATGAGCAATTATTCATTGTCACAATGCCAGCTGCAATTTTTAATCATCTTTTAATTTTAAAAATATCACTTGACTTTCAGTTTGGACCAGAAGTTCATATGTAGTTAGCTGGGCCTACAGCTCCTATGCTTTCCATATCAGATCTCTATTTTTGTATATCTAACTGTTCTTGAGATTAACAAAGGATAGAAAAAACTACAATTTAAAAACTACAGCAGTCCAATAAAGAATTTTAAAATTAGAAATCAAGATTTTCATGATAAAAAGTTATGTACAGTCCTAACTTTCAGCAGTAAAAAATAATCACACACATACTTTAATGTATTATGGTAATTTATACCATAGAACATTATAGAATTTCAAATAACAAGAGTTTAATTTAGATATAGTTAAACTTTCTTCATTTAAAAAGTATTTGAAAGAAAAAAACATAACATTTGTTTTAAAAAGCATACTTATAGAAATTTGTTACCAAGTTAAAAATATCTATCATCAGTTTTTTAAGAAACATATACTGAAGTAGTGATGCATAAGTAAAGCCTCAATTAACTTAGAACTACATTAAAATAAGACTTTTTAAATACTATATAACAATTAGAAATTACTTTTATTCTGTCCAATAACTTAGGATCTCTAGAAGCATCTCCTAATCCATCATGAGAAGCCAGTTTGTCTTCTAATCGTTGTAAGGCATGTTGGACATCTCGTGCCTTATCCTGATAATCTACTAAATTCTGAGAAATATCATCTAATGATTGAGCTCTTTCATATATTCCTGTAATAAGCATTATCTTAATAATGTAAAATTTTTAATAAACAGTTTTATAAGTCCAAACTTTTACCCTGATTCATTCTGTCCCATCTCTTTTTAATTTGATTAATTCCTTCACGTACAGGTTCTTTGTCAATATCACAGCAGGAAATTACTGATTCTCCCAAGTGATAAAGACTATCAAATTCTTGACTATGTTTTGATATATCATTTTTAAAAGCCTAAATGAAAAAAGTTATATTAATACTTATTCTTCAAAAAGTTTTAATTATTTAACAGTTATTAAACTTTGTAATTTTACAATATAGTGATTCTTAGATACACATTTTATATAAATAATATAGTTATTAAATGTTATTAACTAACTAATAACATTTAATAACTACAATTATCAAATAAATCAAACTTGCTGTTATTAAAACTCCAAAAAAAGTCTTTCTATCTTTAAAAAAAGTAGAAAATGTTCTGTCAATAAATTATGTTTATTCAATACTAAATTTAAGGTTTGTTTTGAAGTTTTAATATTAAATGCATCCAGTTTCTAAGGGGATTTACATTTGGTGCTATTTGTCTTGAAATTTAAAATACAGTTAATTTGAATTTTTAAGTATTCAAAGTTTATATATATAAGCTTTAAAAATACAAAATAAAAGAATATATATATATGTTTTCTGGTGTTCAAATTAAAAATATTTAATTTTATATTGTTTGCATAATTTAATTATTATATTATTAATGCACTTATGGTTTAAACCAGGGGTGGCAACATGAGGCCCGCGGGCCGCATGCAGTTCTCCGGGAGTCGTGTTGTGGCCCACAGAGCTAGTTCAAATGAACATAAATGTTAACTTTATTGTACATATCACCAAATGAACATTAGAAGAGTTAAAAAGGTTTAGAAGAGTTCTATGAAACGTATTTGGACAAGGATAAATATCCTGCGTTTTACAAACATGCTTTGTCGATGGTTTCGCTATTTGGAAACACTTATGTGTGTGAATTTTCTAGTTATAATTATATATATAAACTAAAGTTTGACTAATTTTTACCTGAATTTCTTTAATTTGCTTATCAAGTTCAACACGTTTAAAACTAATTGGCTTTAAAGAGTTGAGTTTGTCTTCACTTTGCTGTAACCATGGAATAAATACTTTTAAAGCAGCATAATATTTTCTGCAGTTTTCAGAACAATGTTGAAGTCTGGTATGCCTAAAAATTATGATAAATACTTTAGTTAAAATTCATATAAAGTAAATATATCTCAAATTTATTATTATAATTATCTATATTAAATATACAGGTTAAATTGGTGAAAAAATTAAAATGTGTGAAAAATTGAAATAGTACCATACACAACTTTATTCTAGAAGTAGAGAGACCAAAATTTCCATACCATATATGAAATTATTTATAAAAATATCAAAATATGAATATTGAACAGCAGATTAAAACTGTTTGGATGTAAACAGTTTCCATTTGTTTATAATAAAATCATTTTGAGAAACAGTCTAAAAAATGAAATAATAAATAACATCACAGATGAACATGTGATGTTATCCATTATATGAATAATGAATGAATATTATCTGCAACTACTTTTCCTTTACACAGTCTTTATCTCATTCAAATTTGCAAAATTCAGCCAACATCTGCATTTGTAGATGAAATTTGTTACACTTTTGACATGAAATAATATTTTGTGTCAAAAGTGTAACAATGGCATTTCATTTATTTTTAAATACCAAAACAAACAGCTGTATTCTTTATTGACTATAAGGCTATAAATAATTACAAGAGATGGTGGGCCTAAGCCTCCTTAGCAAATTTGAAGGAGACCCAGGGCCACCCATCATCTCTTGTAATTATTTAGCCTGATTTTTTATTGGCCTTACAGCCCAATAAAGAATCTGGCTGTTTGTTTGGTATTTGTAATAACTATCAGGTTAGTTGTATTTATTATTTTTACTTATACTGTATTTTACAGACTATAAGATGCACTTTTTTTTCTTTGAAAAATTGCCTCCAAAATTCAGGTGTGTCTTATACTCTAAATTAATATAAAAATGTCCAGTGTTTGATTTAAAATTCCCACGTCTTAAAAATGCCATATATTTGATGTCGCAAGAAGCCTATCTCTATCTGGCAACATTGAATTCAACTGGCAGCAGCAGTGCACCAATGCAACGAACATGAGTTGCGGGTTGTCGGGATATAATCGTGTGGACGTACGATTCCTACGCTTTTTCTCTTTTCAAACGAGCAACGGTTGTTGCCATAGAAACTCAGATCACAAGACGACTGGTGATTCTGAATCCACGACCACAGATTGGCCAGCGATCATCGTGCGACTATAGTACGATCAGCGGACGTCTGATAGCGCTACTAAGCGTTGATTGGTGGATCAGCATTTGCTTCAATCCGTATAAAAGGATTGAATTTAGGCAGTAAAAATGGTAAAAATGTTATTTTTTTAAAAAATTGCTTAAAAATTAAGGTGCGTCTTAAAGTCCGTAGCATCTTATAGTCCATAAAATACGGTAAAGAACTACATTCAATAATAGTTTAGTATTTTAAAATTACAAAATAAAATAATTTTATCTTTCTATAATTATTGTTATAATTTTATTGATAAGTTTTTTCCACAATCTGCATTTCAGTCTCATTTTTTTACTCATGTGAAAAAATAAAATTGCATATTATTCCATTCATGTAATACCAATATAATATTAATTTCTGAATTATCAGCATTATTACAACTTTACAAATAGATTATAGCAGAATAGTAACTAATTCTATATCATTAGAAACATTAAAATTTTTTTAAATTATTGTAATTTCAATAATATAGGTCTCTATAAAAATGAGAATATATGAAATAACATGCTGAATTTGAATTTGATATTAATAATGATAATAAAGACAAAATAAAAATATTTTTTCTGAGTAAAATGTATATATTCATTTCACAAAGTTAGTAAAGAGTTAATTCTATACGTCAAACTTAAACAGAAACAAGTCAGAAAACTTGTTCTGTTCAATACATTTTGATACATTAAGTTGGATAGAATCATCTATATCTAGTATCCAATGAATAAAAAAATAACTGGATATATTTGTTATGCTACAATTATTATATTTTTCAGGTTAAATTTTGGTAGAAATATACATGAAAATAAAAATTAGAAATTAGCAATTATCTTCTGAAAGCAACAGATTCCAATTTGGAAATGGTTCACTCATATTTTGGCTATCATTTGGACACTTCCAATTAAATAAACTCAAAATAAAATGCAAAAATCTATCAAAATTTATTGGTAAATAATAATTTAGAACTTGTTTCTTTAATACATTACCATAAATATCATACTGATATAGATAATAAATTTTGTATTCTGCTAATATAAAAATTTTGATAAAAATTAAATTTAAAAAAAATTACTAATAAATGGAATAAAAATAGCTATAAATGTAACCTAAACTATATTTTTTTAAAATATATTTTTAATCTATTAAAACATTTATTTCATTTGCTATGTTTGGTAGATTTAAATGCAATATTATTTGATGATTTGAACTATTTAATTTTTAACATGAACTGAAAATATATTTAACTAGTCACATAGTAATTATAATTATATTTTATATATTTTTTCCAGTTATGTAAATTCTTTATAAAATAATAAATACATTTATCTACTTTTTAACCCATAAAATAACTTTTTTCTATAAATTAATGAAATAAACTATATTCATTTTTTAAAACTACAAAACAAATAAAGTTTAAAAATGATTGTAAATTAAATTATTTAAACAACATACCTATCAGTAGCTGATTTTCTAATTTTATCCCATTGACGCTTAATTGAATCAAGTTTATTTTGTAATTGTAAAGTATCAGATTTACGATTCATTTTATTCATCATGTCTGCTCCTCTACTTAACATTAAGTGAACTTCATGTTCTTTATTCAACACCTCTTTATAAGTAATCTAGAAAAAAGTAGAAATTTCAGAAATATTTTTACATTATTTTGATACATTATATGTTCTTAAACCATATGCAGAGAATTCTGGGCTAGTTAAGTATTCAGAATTCTGGAATTTCTAGAATAAATAAATACAAGACTAGGTTCTAGAATAGTACTGATGATGCACTCATTATATTATCATATAATTTTAGCTGCATACAAGAATAACACATACAATATATTTTTAATATTAATAAAGTATCAATTTTGTGTAAGAAAATCAAGAAGTATCTTTACAAAGCCAATAACACTGACAAATATTTTTAATATAAAACTTAAAACATGGTATTTACATGTGGTATAAAGAATACACTAACATAGTTTGAGAGTAAATACATATATCTTTTTGACCCACAAAAATTAAATGACTGCTAAGACTTCTTCATGAGATTATTTTTCTAACCTTGTCATCATTTGAAAATGCTATGTCATGACTTGTGCATTATTCTAACCATTCATGTTGTCAATCTGGATCATTACTAACTAACTATATTAGAGTTACATTTAATAGTGCTTTGGTTTTTAAATATGATCTAAACCCCAATGATTCTCTCCAGATCCAATTGGTTTTTGAACTGTGGACCTCATAAAGTTACTTTTTAATCACTCCATATAATTTACTTTGATATATATAAACATTAATTTTAAGATAGTATAAATTTAAGTTTTAAATTAAGAATATTCTCAAAAACTAATTAACCAATATCCTAAATTAATCTGACTATTATTTATATATATTTAANATAACATACCTATCAGTAGCTGATTTTCTAATTTTATCCCATTGACGCTTAATTGAATCAAGTTTATTTTGTAATTGTAAAGTATCAGATTTACGATTCATTTTATTCATCATGTCTGCTCCTCTACTTAACATTAAGTGAACTTCATGTTCTTTATTCAACACCTCTTTATAAGTAATCTAGAAAAAAGTAGAAATTTCAGAAATATTTTTACATTATTTTGATACATTATATGTTCTTAAACCATATGCAGAGAATTCTGGGCTAGTTAAGTATTCAGAATTCTGGAATTTCTAGAATAAATAAATACAAGACTAGGTTCTAGAATAGTACTGATGATGCACTCATTATATTATCATATAATTTTAGCTGCATACAAGAATAACACATACAATATATTTTTAATATTAATAAAGTATCAATTTTGTGTAAGAAAATCAAGAAGTATCTTTACAAAGCCAATAACACTGACAAATATTTTTAATATAAAACTTAAAACATGGTATTTACATGTGGTATAAAGAATACACTAACATAGTTTGAGAGTAAATACATATATCTTTTTGACCCACAAAAATTAAATGACTGCTAAGACTTCTTCATGAGATTATTTTTCTAACCTTGTCATCATTTGAAAATGCTATGTCATGACTTGTGCATTATTCTAACCATTCATGTTGTCAATCTGGATCATTACTAACTAACTATATTGGAGTTACATTTAATAGTGCTTTGGTTTTTAAATATGATCTAAACCCCAATGATTCTCTCCAGATCCAATTGGTTTTTGAACTGTGGACCTCATAAAGTTACTTTTTAATCACTCCATATAATTTACTTTGATATATATAAACATTAATTTTAAGATAGTATAAATTTAAGTTTTAAATTAAGAATATTCTCAAAAACTAATTAACCAATATCCTAAATTAATCTGACTATTATTTATATATATTTAATTTAATATATAAATGTATGTTAGTAGTCTGATCATAATTCTCATTCTAATACATTTCAATAGTATTTATTTTTATTTATGTTTATAATTAATAAGGAAATATCAAAAGATTGGATTTAAAATAAATTATATTAAAATTTGTACTTAAATACAACACTATATTTATAAATTTCAAAATGCATTTAGAAAATAAGAAAATAAAAATTACTTTTCTTTAATATAAATTTAAGCATATTTTCATCTAATAACAATCAAAATTTCTGTTAATTTTAATTTTTCTTTCCTTTTATTTTATAAAGCAAACTGTATAGATTTAAATATATTATTAAATAATATCAGCAATTTTTTTTTACCTCAAATTCCTGCACTTGATGTTTCAAAATTGTTTCATCAGCAGATATTTGAAAATTCTGATTTAATATATTTTCTCTTTCCTTTAACCAAACTTGGATATGATCACAAGAAATAAAAAATTCTTTGTCTTCCCTCAATGATGATTCTAACTCAGCTTTTCGATTAGCTTGTGAAAAATAGTAGAATTTTCTTAGATTACATCTTAATAATTATAAATTATAATAAATATAAAACTTACTGATTTTTCTACTTAAATTATTATACTGCTTTTCTAATGAATTCAATTTGGTTGTAATTTCATTTTTGGATGCAGAATCACTTAATATGTCACATAATTGTTCACATACACTTTCTGCATCTGCAAGCAATGGTCGTTGTTTATCTAGATCATCTTCTAGATTCTGCAGATAAAAGTAACATTAGCACTGTAATTCTTTTAACAACATTATATCATTTATTCTGTAAATAGTCTGACCTTTAACTTTTCTAGTTGTTCTCCTGAATCTGACCCAGTTTCTGATAACATATCAAATTTATCACTAATTTGTTGTAGACTATCTTGTAATTTATTCAAATTATCATGGAAATTTTTAGTTGCACCACTTGCTGCATCTAAGCTCCTCTCTCTGTTATTGAGACGATTAATTAAATCATCCCACTGACTTTGGACACTATCCATTTGTTCTTTAATTTTTTTATAACCAGGAGAAATGCTATCAATAGATTTAAGAATATTTTGGCCAGATTTCTTAAATCTATTTAATAATGGCTGTTGTGAAATGAATTCATCTCTCATAACCTAAGAGAATATAAGTCAATGTTTAAATAATATATGAAACTTATTTATTTTAAACAAACTTATACAAAATATTACATAAATGTACTTTTTTATAATAAATCAAAATATGTTCATTATATTGAAGATAAATTTAATTTCTAAATATTTTATTACACAATGTTATATGAATTCTTATTTATAAAATCATGAACATTTTAAATAAAAAGAATAAAATTAAATTAAAGAATGTAGAGTACATATTAAAAAGCAACTAATTTAAAATAAAACACACTATATTTTCTATTCAATTTCACATATATAAAAGATGTTTGTAAAAATACTTTAGAAGCAATAAAAGCTTCCTTTATTGCTTCTAAAGTATTATTATTATGTACTGTACATTATTAGACCACATTATCAAATTTTTTTGATAAACACATAAACAAAATAATTGTTTCTTGAATGTTTTTTCTATTAAAGAAAAAATTTAGATATGATACCAGATAAACATTATGAAAAAAACATATGTTATGTATATGTTTATATCTGATACTTTCCAAAGTGTAAAGAGTTATAACAATTTTATGCAATTAAAACTGTGTAGAATAGTTTGAAAGACTTTTCCAAATTTAGTTAGAAACAGTGTAGTCAGAGAAATTTTTATTAATTAAGAGAAAAAAAATTAGTATCATTAAGTACAAAATAGCTCTTATTTTTAGTTTAACAATAGTTCAAAATATTCTTACTTGAACTTGCTGCATTTGTGAAGTTACCATTCGGGGATCTGATGCAATTGGTCCTAAAACGTGAAACATTTTTTCTTTCTGTGATAACCAATTAATAAGTAAATCATTTGTTTCCTGAAATTCCTTTAATTCTTGTAAAAAGTTTAATTTGTTTTTGATGAGTGACTGAATCTGTGACCATTTTGATCCTAGAAAAATATTATTATCTATTAATAAAAAATTTAATATATACATATACATTTATAATTATTATATTATTATATTAAATTATTNTACTCAAAAATTTCCATTACACTTTCTTTTATAATCTTATATTCAAAATTTATATATTATTTTTAATTTGTATTTTCTTAATCTGAAATAAATATAATTTTTTTTATATTTAATTTCATTATTTTTAAAATGTATATGAATATTTAAAGAGTTAATTTAGAATGAGCAATTATTTATTGTGACATTGTCACAATGCTAGGCTGCAAATTTTTAATTATATTCTTAATTTATTTAATTAGAAATATATGCTCTCCATCTTAAATTAGTAGTGTCTTGCCCCTATACATCATACTTTTCCTGATAACAACAGTCATGCAGTAATCTATGTAACTCCATTCCAGGGAAAATTTTTGAATGAATTCATGAGAGACTTCTGGTCTAAACTAGAAGTTTGTATATAGTTAATTTGGGCCTCTTGTCTCTAAACTTTCCATATTTGGTCTTGACTTACAAGGTCTGTTCAAAAAGTATCGGACTTTTATTTTTTCCACGTAAACCAATGATGCGCGGCAGGCCTCTTTTGATGGAGTTGTGGAGGGGACAGTCATGCACAGCTCTGAATTTTTTCCTGCCTGCAGGAAGCGTCAGTCGTTGGCAGTTGGCCTATGAGTGAGCTCTCGCTGGATTCCACTAAGTTGGAAAATGACTAAACAACGTGAGCAGTGATATTACATCAAATTTTGCCAAAAAGCTTGGCGATACCCAAGCGTAAACAATTTGCAAGATTCAGCAGGCTTTCGGGGACGATCCTTGAGGCAAAAAAAAAAAAAAAAAGCGCGGCAAGTCCGCAGCAATATCAAGGTCATGTTGACAGTTTTTCGACTCTCATGGGGTGGTGTATTGTGAGTATGCACCACGAGACCAAACCATCGCAAAGGAGTACTACCAGGAGATCCTTCGTTGTCTTTTCGATGTTGTGCGACACAAACGATCGGATCTGTGGTCGATCAAAACTTGCCAGCTCCATTGTGATAACGCATCCACCCATTCTGCGCATCTGATTCGGACTTTCATCGCCAAACACAACACTCCTGTGGTTCGTCACGCTCCGTACACTCCCCACATGGCTCCGTATGACTTTTGGCTATTTCCCAAGCTGAAAATGCCGCTAAAAGGAACCCGAATTTAGTCGAGAGAAGACATCATGCAGAATGCGATGGACCGGCTGATGGCCATTCCAAAAGATGCATTCCAGCAGTGTTTCCAGCAATGGCAGGAACGCTGGGAGAAGTGTATACATTACCAAGGAAACTACTTTGAAGGGGATTAGGGTATTGTACCTCAAAATCAATAAATGTATTTTTGCCGACCAAAGGTCCGATACTTTTTGAACAGCCCTCGTACATCTATCAAACACCATTCTTGAGATTACAAAAAGAGACAGACAAACAACTAATGACAGTGAGAATTTATAGGTCTACAATTTTTTCAAATTACAGCCCAAACAATATAATTTGCAGTCTGCATTCTCTCAAACTTTACAAAATGCAGTTTATATTCTGTACAGTTAAATGAGATAGAATTCTAGAAAAGTAAAAATACAAAATAATAATTTATGAAATTTATGTCTTTTATATTTTCTTACCAAGTTCATTAACTTCTTGCTGTAAATTGTTTGCACCAAGAGCATTTGGCTTTTTTCTTAAGAGATCATTTGCTTGATTTTTCACACGATCCATATCATGTTGCTTTTCTTGTATTTCTTCTTGGATTATCTAATAAACAATAACATGAGCAATAGTAATATATAATATAAAAATGCACAAAAAGTTTCTACTACTGACCTTTAGTTCTACCATCTGTCTTTCAGCTAAATCTCTAGACAATGGTAACATATCTTTAGGTATTTGTTTCTCTTTAGCTTGTATGAAAGACAAAAGTGCTTTTAACATATCTAAATGAATTCTAATCTCTTCAGTAACATCTGTAACTTCTTGATGGCGATCACTTAATTTAACACCAAGTAAGCTATATCTATGATTAATCTCAGATAACTGCTGTTGAATTGGTGTTAAATCTATAAAAATAAAAACAAAAATAAATGATTTAACAAATAGAATACTAAATTTATAAAACAAACACTTTATGAAAAACATTTTTACTTTCAAATAAAAATAAAGATGAAGTTTCTGACTAAGTTGGAAATCTACATTTAGTAAAAGATTAAAATTAAAAATGAAAACTTATAGTGTCTAGAAAAGATTAATAATTAAAGAAATACAAAACTTGCTTACAACTAATGCAATAATGAAACTTTTTTTAGTAATTACTATTCTACAGAAAAGTGCAGCTTAGTACTGTAACAATTACAAGATAACCAATTACATATCTGTGTTCTTTGTCCTCATAAGCATCATTATCNTACTTTATGAGAGCTTTTATACTTTTATAAAGCTGTCTATAATGAAAATTAATTAACTAAGGATTTTTTTGCCCTGCCAGGGTGTGGCCGAGTTATCCGGAGTGCCGGGTTATCGAGAGCCGAGTTTTTGAGGTTCTACTGTATTAATAAAATTAATTTTTTGATTCTCAATGAAGCAAAAATCATTAACATTTACTTCTAATCATCATATATAAATATTCATTTACTTTATACAATCAATATTTACAATGATTACATTTTTTTTCATTGATGATATCTAAAATTCTTATCCTCTTGAACATTATTTTCAGAAATTAATAATCTAATCATTTCTCTCAAACCAATCCATGGACCTGAGAAATGTTTATTGAGGAAATTCCAAACCTCACTATGGTAGTGCAGTGATACACCACCTTGCTGAAAATACATGCATCCTTCCATGACATCATCAGTTAACTGTGGAATGAAAAAATTTGCCAGCACATCCAGATATGGTGAATTGGTTGAGCAGAGACATGGCCACCTCATTTTCCAGATTTGACACCTGTCAATTTTTTCTGTGGTTTCATTAAATGTCTAGGTCTGTCCTTGACAGCAAATCTTGTTGAGTTCAAAACTCAACTTACCATCACAGTTATTGAAGTGACAATAGATATGCTGTTTCAAGTTTGGCAAGAAACTGAGTTCAGGTGGAATGTCTGCCTTATCACCAATGACACTCACATGAAACCAACATGGCTCTATGAGTAAAAATATTATGTGATTTGATATAAATAAATGCCTCAATCAATTCTGCAAGTCTTTTGATTAAAATCCTATATGCTTTCAACATAAAGTCCTCTTCAAATCTTCCCCCCCCCACACACACACGTACCTTTACAGCCAGCATTTCACTAATATCACTAATATAGCACTTGCTATATATATACATACACACCGTATAAAGAAAGAAAGAAGAAATAATAATATTTTTGTTCAATTTCTTCACTTTATATACATATCAAAGCTTCCTAACTATATATAAATTGCTATTTTAAATGTTATTTTTTTCAAATAATAACTACCATAAATTTAATTTTCAAAGTTTAAATATATTTAAATTGAAAAAATGTTCCAAGTTCATGCCCAACTACAAATTAAACATATTTATTTTCTAATGTTATGAAATAAAAAGTAATCAAAATCAAATTCCACTTCTTAAATTAAAAAATAAAAAAACTTTTTATTTAAAAAGTTATTTAGAAATTTATTAATATTTTTAGAATTAATATTATAGACATTTTGTAAAAATTATTATTATTAGTTATATTTTATTTATTATTATTTCTGATTTTCATATTTTGAAATTTAATATTGACATTTTAAAAAAAATTTAAAAAGTTGTAGAAAAACAATAATTAGTTCAAAATTTCTGTACAATATTAACTGCTAATTTTTAATATACAAATTATAAACACTTCCAATAATTATATAAATATATCATAAAACTGCTTTACAATAAAAATTATAAATATAAAATAAGCTAATGTTCATATTTAAATACTAATTCATTTATTGATAGGATTATTTTTATTCTGGGGATATGCTTAGAGTATTTGCATTCTTAAAAGCCATAAATGTTCATGTAGAAATTATATTGTATAATTTTTTTCTATTCAATTTTTAATTATGTATTTATTAATATAATATATTTTATACAAATTTTAAGCAATTTTTTTAAAATAATAATTTCATTTTCACGTGTTTAAAATCATGCAATAAGTAATAAATTAATTCTTCAGAAATTTTTGAAATATATTTAATGACAAACATTATCATTTTTTATCAGAAAAGAATTTAAAATAATAATTTTTGTTCATTTATATAACGATACATTTAAAATTAATTTAAAATATGTTTTATTTAAAACTGAAGTTTTAATAACACAAAATTATTTGACAATTCCATTGTTATTGTTCATATCATCTATGCAGCAGCTACATAATAATTTGAAGTGATTTAATTGGGGAATAACAGTTTTTCAAAATAACAATTTTTAGACGTTACTGTAAAATTTTGAATAGAACGATATTAACAATAAAATAAATTAGTAAAAACTGATTATTGAAGTAATAAACAAAGTTTGTTAGAGACATCAGTCCTTTTAAGCAGCATAAAAACAATCCCAAACACAATTTAATTTTAATAGTTATGAGCATTATTATTTGTTTATAAACATAACAGTTATAAAATGTTGTTAAATTAAGATTTTTAAAGTGTTATAAATATTGCAATGTCAAAACAGAAATCAATTCAATAATTTTTGCAAATTCATTTAACAGACTCAGTTTAGAATCTTGTATAGCACTGGATGATGAATTAAAATTGCAGTATTATTAAAAATGTTATCAAATTTTTTATAATTATATATTTTTCATTTAAAATAATGTTAAAAATTTTACAAATTAAATTATATATTAATGAAATTTCTTTTAGCATGATAATATAACTAACATATTCATATTATCATTCATATTATTCAATTCCATAATGTAAACTGAAGAGCTTTCATGCTAGAAAACAAACTTTTAAGGAGTGAACTCCTTAAAAATTTGGTTTAAAAAAATTAGTGTCAGTGCTATATAGTATATTCATATTATCAATAAACTTTACCATCTTACACTACAGTATCAAATTTTTCATTTTTCATCTGGAAAGCTTCTTATTTTAACCTTTATGAAACATTTTTTGATCCTATTTATTCAGGTTTTCTTTCATTTCAGAAAAATCCAATTTTTAATGCTTTCAAAATCAAATTTGGAATATCAAAATTTTACAATTGATCATGTATCTTGGCAGAATTAGATGCTTACATTTTATTTTCATTTTAATTTGTTCTAAATTCCTTTTTTGATGGCATATTTTCATGCTGTCAGAAATATCTCTATGTCCCTAACATTTATGCATTCATTGGAAATGTGGAGACATTTCCAACCAAGATGTATGATCAATTGTAAAAAATTCATTATTCCAAAATTTGATTTTAAAAGAAATAAAAATAGAATTTTTCTAAAACAAAAGAAAAAAACCTGAAGATGGTTCATAAATAGGGCCAAAAAACATTTCATAAAGAACCACACACAACACCAGGGTATAGTCAACAAACCGATGACCAGTGACATAGAAAATACATTGTTTTTTCTATGCACACTGGTCATCAGTTTGTTGGGTACATCATTTCATAAAGGTTAAAATAAAAAGTTTTCCAGTGGTAAGGTAAAAAGTTTGATAATATACTTTACATATTGATAAAAAAATAAATTTTTTCTCTGTTTATGTATCTACTAACTACAAGCAAACAGAGTGTTTCAAATAGTTGTTCTCAATTTTTTGAGACTAATGATATACTCAAAATTTTTGGTGGCATATACATATAAACAAAATACAAAATTGAATACATGCAATTTTTCATATAAAATAACAATATAAAAAGTAGACAAAATCAACATTTTAAAATATTTTGAAACTTTATAGTATGCCAATAAAAAGTTTGTGATATACTGGTTGAGAACCACTGTATAATTTACAGTACAGACTAATTAAAGAGACATTTGAACAAGAAGAACAATTACTTTACATATATACTAAATAACTAACTTGTTCAATTTTACTAATATAATAATACTAATGTAATAACTTTAATGATTAAATTATTAATTTATATTACCAGTGTATTAAACCTACTAAGAGATAATAATTTTGCTCACTTTCAATGACAAATTTATCAAATTACTATTAATAAAGTTGCATAAAACTCTAAAATTAGTTTCTGCTTGAAAATGGTGTTCCATTTATGTAAGTTCTAAGTAAAGAGAATAAATATTTGGATCATCGAAACAGTCATTATGTCAATGATTCAGAGAATTATATATAATATCAGAGGATTAATCTAATTGACATAACTTAAACTAAACTATATTATTGTTGTCATTTTCATTTGAAATTTATGTTTATTATGTTTTATATGACAAAATTATCATAGAAATAATTTGATTTAAACTATTGAGAAAATGATAAATTTTTCTAATTTTAATTACTGAAGTCAATGGCAAGAAACTAAAAGTTATAATTAATGATTTATTCTTTACAAAAGTTATATGTTAGTAAAATTTTCAACTAATAATTATCAAGAGTGAACAACTATATATATTATATAAAATACAAAAAGGATTCAGAATAAACTGACAAATAAAAAGATAATTGCTTTTTCATCTAGGATATCACTTATAATATGGACAAATTCATATATAATATAATTAAATTTGAAAATTAATACAACAAATTGTTAAATTTCCAAAAAATTTTATTACACATGCAATGTTATCAGTTTACATATTAAACATGTAATTAATATTTTTCACTTAAATCAAATTTAAATGCTTAATTAGTAAATGCAGGGGGAAAGAAATATTTTTATTATTATTTTAGAATTTTTTTCTTTTTGTTTTGAAGGCAAATGTGCTTACCTTCCAAATTACCTAGGTTGTCAACAGAGTTAGGTCTACTCCCAAATCCACTGGATCCACTGGAAAGAGGGGTAGTAGCAATTGTCTTGCTATCAGGTGATCTCCATATCCCTACAATGGCAGAATGAGTTGATAGAGCTTGTATAAATTATTAGAAGAAAGTCAAAAAAGTGTGATCGTAATATGTATTTTAGATATTTTTAAGAGAAATTTAAGGAAAAAAAATATTTCTTTCCTGCCATGCATTTTAATTAAAAAAAATAACAACAAATATCAATAAAAATAACTGTAAATAATATAAAATATGATAAAAAAAAATATATTTAAAATTTAAACTTTTATTGTTATAAAAAAATTTTTAAAAACAAATTAAAAATGTTCAGTAATTACAGATAAAATATTGAATATAAAGCAACAAACACTACATGCACAAATAAAAATTGCAATACTATATTTTTAAATTGTATTTAATGTTTTTCAATTATCAAAAATTAAACTTGACTTTAAATATAATATTTAATATATTTATATTTTACCCAATAAATAAAAAATAAAAATTTATCATTATCATTCATGCTTCTATCATATAATTAAAATAATCACATCATTCTATAAAGCAAATTTAATAGTCAATATCTTCAGCAACTTATCTTCATAAAAAAAATATTTAAAACATTAAATATACTTCTAATTTTATAGCATTATATTTCTTTAAAAATAAATACTTATATTTTTATTTCATACATTATGTTTTTATTCTATTCTTTGTAGCTCCAAATAGATAAGGTGAATGGCATACTGTTTTAATGTATAATGGATATTTATAATCTATGAACAATTTTTTGAACATACAAACAAAGCAGAAACTGGATAATAATGTTGATAATAAAGAAAAGATGAAAAAACTAAAAAAACCAAGAACTCCAGCAAAAATGAAAAATAATTAATGGTAAACAAACATTTTCAATAACTTTAGCTGTCATCATCTTTTGAAAGTTAACTATCATAATGATGATAGCTAAACTTATTGAATATGTTTGTTTACCATTAAATATTTTTCATTTTTGCTAAAGTTTTTGATTTTTTTATTTTTACTTCAATTTTTTTGAATATGAAAGATAAAGAATATAAATGTTTTTATATAAATGCATTAAAATTTCAATGTTTTTACTTTGAGTTGTAAAAATTAATACTTCTTCATTAATATAAACTTCCATTTTTTAATTTCAAATATTAGAATATAAATTTATGGATGTTAAACTGAATGGAAAATGAAAAGTATATTCTTTTTCTTTTCTTATAAACAGGCTTAAAAATAAAAAGTATATTAATTTCTAATTTATTAAAACAATAGAACTAAATCTAAGTAGACTCCTTGATAATCAAATGAATAGGATTCTTATTAAGCTACATTAACGGCTGTTCATTTGATTATTAAAAGTTTATCAGGTTGGTTTTATGTGTAGGTTCCTTGAGTAAATATATTAATTACAGGTATATTAAAGCATTCATATATAGAATTTGATTTTCCTTAATTTTTAAATTTATTAAATAAGCTTAAAACAACATCTTGAAACTTTTATTATATATAACTATCACCACATAGTAGAAAAAGTAAGATACAGTGCACAAAAAGTGATAGAATTACTTGATTATTATCAAGAAAACAGTCGTTTGACTGGTATTTATTTGGTTACCTGCAATTTTACTTTCAGTTTTTTTTAATATTTTTTTTAATCAAGAAATAATTACCCATCTCTTGAATATGCATATTTCATCTGATTATAACACATTTATATTTTCAATTTTAAATATTCCATATAGATATTTTGATTGATACAGATGTTAATTTATACTTATCTTGAACACCATAAATTTGGAAATATATAGATATTGCATAAATTTACAAATTTAACATCATATAATTTATTTAAAAAAATAATACAGCGAAGTACACCATATGCATTTACTCCAGCTGAAAAACTAATAGAAATACAAACTTTTTTGTGATGGAGTAAGTACACATACTCTATTTTGCTTTATATTAATAATTCCCACTTTATGTTGAATAAGATTATAGTAATGCAACATAAAAATTTAAGTACTTTTGCCTTTATTGTTTTGATTTCATTAGGATGAAGTTCTGAAATACAGATTTGAATCATATGTGTTTGATTTGAATTAAATCAAATATATTTTAAATTTTATACAAAAATATTAATAGTTTATATTTATATTTTATTTTATTCTGAAAATAATAAGTTCATGTTTTTTTAATTGAAGATTTTAACTTTTATCAAAATTGATTAATTAGTTTTAGTATTGTTAAAGCTATTTTAATTTATTTATTTTATGATTATTAGATATACTGTAATAATGTTTACTTACTGGATGGCGATCGTCTGGTAGGGCTTGATGGTGAAGGAGACTGTTTTTTTGTTGGACTTCTAGCACGATGTGGACTATCAGCACGCATTATAGAATCATAAGCATTTCCTAATTGGTTGACTTTATCAATAGTTGATGCATATTCAGCATGTTCTTTAATCAATGGCTGTAATTATAAATTTCAGCAGTAATAATACTTGGTTAAATTATTTTTGAAATAATATTTTTAATAATACTGAAATATTTTCTAAACAATTCTCTCATGTAAAAGTTTAAAATTGTCTTAGTTTAAAGATTGTATAATAAATAATACAATTTATTAATACTATAACAATTTATGGATGGATGAATAACTGATTGAAATACTTTCAGTAACAAATTCTCAAATCATAATTCTGATTTTGATATGAATTTCATTTTTTCTTTATTCTAATTGAAAAATTATTATTATTGTTTTCTATCTTTGATTTAAAACAACTATAATAATAATAATTTTGTCCTAATTCTATATTTCAATACTCCAACCTCGTTATTAAATATTTTTAAAATACTTTTATTGTTTATAAATGTTATACATGTAATGCCATTATTTAAAATTTATATATTAAAAAAATTACGTTCAATTCTATTTTCATTGAATATAATTAGCCTGAAAATAGTTAAATTTAAAGTTGGTAAAGCACTTGACATAATAAATGTTTCAATTTTAATTGTGTAAAATGTTTTTCTAAATATTTATTTAGTTGCACTCAAAAGCATTATTTCCATATCTCTGTGAATTATTATACAGATGTGAACTCTATCATCTTTATTACATTCTAATATTTTAAATATAATTAGTAATGAATAATGATATAGATTTTCAATTTGTTAACATAGATATATGTAACATTTAAATTAATCAAATTTTTCATTTATTGATTTATATAAATAAAAGACATATCATAGAAATAAACTGGAAATACTAATCATAATTTCTAGAAGAATTTTATAAGCTATTGAAGTATGAAACTATCAACTATTAATATTTATAATATCATATATTAAACAATTGTTCAATATTTGTTTCTTAAAAGTTATAAATTATTATATACCTTAATTTCCAGAGCTTGTTTACGTAAAGTATCTTTATCCATTGCAACAGGTTCTAAATTTTCTACTCTAGCTTCCATGTTGCTAAGCCATTCTATAACTTTAGCCCTTAGTGCCTCATATGCAGATAACTGTTCTAATCGTGTTTTTTCCAATTTCTGCTTGTCTAATAAAGCATCTGAAAGCTCTTTCCACTGTTGTTCAAGATGTTTTAATTTGTCTCGTACATAAGATGTATCAGTAACATCAATTTTTGCTAAAAGTGTCTTTCCCATTTTCACTGTTTCTTCATATTCATTTATTTTAGAATTTCGTTGATTCATGACATCTTCGATAATTCTTTCAAAGCTGTCAACACTCCTATGAGTAATATCACGACCATCAATAAAACTCATCATTGAACATAGCCATTCCTCAAATTTAAAAACTTTCATTTCAAAAATTTCTAATGAAGATGAAACCTAAATAAGTAAATAAATTAAAATTTAAAATTTAAAACATTATTATAAATACATCATTTTCAATAATAATTTTTTTAAAGCTAGTCTTACTTCATCCAAAATGTCTCCACGTTTCCTACTTTTATCACATAATTTCTCAAAACGACTATTAACATCCTTCATTTTCATTTCTACTTTTTTAGCTAAACGAGAATTTGAATTATTTAGTAAGTCCTGAGAAGATACATTTAGTGCATCAATGGTTGGCTTATGTCTGTCAATATCAGTTTGTAACATTCTATGGTCTTGAATCTACAAATGATAAATTAAAACAAATTTTAAAAATCATGCAATTTTTATTATATAATAAATAAAGCTACAATGATAAGACATTAATTAGAATTTATACCTGATCATCAAGCTTTTCTCTAACAAGACTTATGGATTTACTTTGATTTCTCTGAATGTTTTCTGCTTCATCTAACCAACGAAGTATACGATCTAAACCATCCTGAACATCCTGAGAATGAACAAGTGCAGTTTGCAATTCATTGCTTTTATCATTGATTGCAGACATTAACTGATTATATCCTTTTTCTAAATTGGATACTGTATCTTCGATTGCTTTTTTATCCGAATAGTTAACAGAAACACCTTCTAAACTATCTAGTAAAACTTTAGATGCTTGTTTTGTATTTTCAATTAATCGAGCCTGGCCAACAACATCAGTACTTAATGCTTTAAGGCGATCAACTTGGTCTTGGACAGCTTTTGGTTCAGCAGCAACTGGTTCTTCTAGTAAAGTCCTAGCAGTTTTCTGAACATCACTTAACCAATTGATTGCTTTTTCTGAACATTCAAGATAATGAAACTGTTTACTAGTTAACCCTGCAAATTTATCACTTAATTTGTTAACACGATTTAATAAATTATGATAAGTTGTTGTAATATCCTGAACTTTCATCTTTATGTCACTTTCTATTGGTTCTATGTGATGTAAACGATGAGGAAGATTTATTCTGAAGTCATTCAAACCTCGAAGATAATCCTAAAAATGTAAAACAGTAATTAAAATTTTTATAATTATTCTACTTAAATTAAAATTTTTAGATCAATAATTACTCATATTTTTATTTAAAAGACAAAAGATTAACTGTAATAAGAATTAATAAAATTAATTTTAAAATTAAAAATATTTTTAAGTTAAATGAAATGAAATACTGTACAACAATAACCAAACACCTTTATTGTTGCCAAGAAAGTTTATTTAAAACAAATGTTTTCGACCTATTCCATAGGCCATCAACATTATTGTTCAATAATGTGAAGTGTTTTGCATTTGTCTAAGCCAAACTCCATTTGTATGTCCTTAGTGTATGAATGTGTGATTTGTAGGAGTTGATGAAGTTGTTTTTGTGTGGATGCATAAAGTTTTATGTCGTCCATGTACATGAGATGTGAGAGTGTAAACTGTGTTGTTTTTTCATGTCTGATATTGTAGCCATAATGCGTGTTGTTTAACATGTTGGATAATGGATTCAGGGCTAGGCAGAACCAGAGAGGACTCAAGGAATCTCCTTGAAAAATTCCTCGCCTNTTATAGACCCAAATTTGGTGAAAGGAGAGAAAGGACAAAAGATAAAAAGTTGTCAGAAAGGTTAAATAGTTCTTCTGTTAGGCAAATATTGAGTCTTAATTTTCCAATCTTTCTCACTTCTTTATCTTTTGTCCTTTCTCTTCTTTTTTCGCATTTGGGTCTATAATCCTTTGAGTCACAACTCCAGCTTTATTTAGTATTCCTTCCATCGTTGCAAGATTTGGCTACATTGCGCCAAATGTGGCTACTTTTTTTAGTTTGACGTAAAAAATATCATTTGGCGCTTTGGCTATTTTTTGGGGTACATATTATTTATAAATATATTAGTTGAATAAAAATGCACTTTAAAATAGTGTTTCGTCGCTTTTTATTAATTAGAGATCCAAATAAAATAAATATTTGTGTTTTTCAAATAAATTTTCATTTGTCTCTTTTATAATAAATGAATTTAAAATGTAAAAGTATTTAAGAATTTATTAAGAATTTAAAATGTAAAAGTAATTTTTTAAAATATCCCTTTTCGTGATAAAGTTTTATTACTTATTATTACAATCTAGACGTGTTAATCCTTAAATATACTTGTATATTGGGCCAGAAGTATATATAATATATACTTGTGGCCCAAAACTCCTTGACTTCTTCCAATGCGGCCCAGAGAAACAAAAAGGTTGGACACCCCTGATGTAAATTATGAGTTCCTGGTAGATTTTTTAATAATATACTTCCAGGAACTCATAATTTACACATTAATTTTATTTTATTGTATTAGTTGATACTTATATTTAGTAGTATTTCTGAGTTTATTTTTATTTTATTCTTTGTTTTCATTATATATATTTTTATACAATACTAGTATATTATTATTTTTTAATCCATTGTCAGTTTTTTTTTTAAATATTTGTATTCGATCTTGTGGAACGAAATCTTCCAATTGTCCATTTTCAACCTGATGATGGCCTATGGAATAGGTCGTTTGTTTTAAATAAACTTTCTTGGCAACGATAAAGGTGTTTGGTTATTGTTAAATATTTTGCTGAGCATGTTCTATTTAATGAAATACTGTACTACATTAAGGTTTTTTTAAAACTATGATTTTAAATAGAAAAACTTAATATTTTAAGTAAAGACTATCAATCATTTTGAAAAATTTTAAAGCTATTACTGAAAATTCTTGAGATAAGCAAACATTATAATAATATATCTCAAAGATGTATATTATAATAAACATTTAAAATTTACATTTATAATAAACACAAATTTTATGTTCAGATATTTGCAGATGCACATTATCCATCTCAACATGATTTATTGTTTTCTTCACAATTATATAAATTACATCATTTTAATTTGTACTAATTATGATTGATTTCACTAAATTTAATACGTAATTACATTAACTGAATTCCATTTTATTTGATTTTAAAAGATTATAAAAAAATAAAAATTGTATGAAATGTAATATACCTTAGATTCATCTAAAAATTTTTGTGCAGCCATTGTTATGAAACGTAGATCAGCTTGATGTGCAATAACATCACTGGCAAAAGTCTGAAAAGAAAATATATATGTTTTTATAATTCAGGCAAGGTATTTTGATAAATATTACATATCATTACAAAGGAATATCTTAATCACTTTTTATATAATGATTTTAAAGAAATTTTCTGTAAAAATATATCATTCAAATTTTAAACAATTTTTTGAATTTTATTTGTTCAAACTAATAATATTCATTTCTTAAAATTATTGATTTCATCAAAATTAGTTCAAAATTAATGTTCAAGTTGTTTCTCGTCATTGGAATTTCTTAGTCTGTTCTGTGTTTAAATTTGTTAAGTGTTTGATTTGATGATGATATGAAAAAGCCTCAAAAATGTTTAATCAGAAATAAATAAGTTGACCTCTTGAATTATATAGTGAATGTTTGAATTAAAAAACTTCAATTTTATCTTTATATATTAAAACATTTTATCTTTAATGTATAAATACAAGATATTTACTTTACATAATTTTTTAAAAATATCTCATTCAATAACTAATCATGTTACATAATGCAAATACATAAAATTAATTGTTTAAATTGAATTTTTATGAAATAAAATAACTGGACCAATTTCATATAAATTTATTTGTTTTATGCTATTGCGAGACTAATTGTTAGATATTATATAAAACATTGTTTATGTAACTGCAAAGTAAAAATATTCTATTGGATCTAATCTACCATAATGTAACTAAATCTTCAAATCCAGAAAGTAATTTTATTAAACAAACATTTTAAAGTTTCTTTAAAATTATGTTTAGATTAGAAACTTAACAGAAAAAATGATATAGAAACAAAACTTAATATAGAAAAAAATGATTACAATTTAAATAGAATAAGTAGAAAGTTCAAAATGTATTTCATGTGGTAAAAAAACTTTCAGTATATTTTTCTCTCTCTTATATACTGTACTGTTTTATGGAAAGATTTTATTGACCAAGAAAAATGTCAATGTTTTTCATAAAGTTTTATAGCTTTTAAACAACTGAAAAAATAAAATGATTATTACAAACTATTTTATGTTTATGTGTAGACACCAATTAAAGCATTGAATACTAACATGACTTAAGAAGCAAGAAAAAATTTAAGCTAACAAATGCATAAGAATTACAATAAAAACATTTACTGAATAAAGAAAAAAATAAATAAATGAAAATATTCTAAATTATAAAAACAATAAAATTGATTATTAATAAATAATAACTCTATTTACTTTATATGCATTGGCATTATGTCTCAAATGTTGAAGATCCCCTAGACTTCGCTCATTATCAATAAGTAAAGTGTTTGCTTCAGTTAACCAGATACTAAAACTGTGAAGTTCAGCCTAATAAAGAGTAAAATAACAACATATTTTACAACACTTGAAATAAATTCAGATAAATTGCAAATTCAAAATTTAATTTGCTTACTGAAAATTTATGTAATTCATCCAAAGCTGCACTAAGACGCCTCAATAATTTCTCACTTTGAATGCATAAGGCATCGTAACGTCTCTTTAACAAATCTGAATCTTTTTGAAGTTGATAAATTTCTTCTTTGCTCAATAATTCTTGACCTTGTTCTATTACTTGAGATACTTGATCCAAACAAATTAAAATTGGTTTTTGATGTTCTTCAATATCATCTCTAAGAGCCTAAAAAATTAAAATTTGTTTACAAAATAAATTAAAATATATTACACATTAGCATATTAAAGAGCACATAAATAAATAATTAATATCACTAAATAATTATTGTCTTTATAACTGATAAAATTTCATCTTAAACTTTCATTTTAAAAGTTTAAAAGAAACTTTTATCATTAAAATATGATTAATAATAAAAGGTAATTAGTGAAAACATTTTACTGATTTAAACATGTCACAGAAATAAAAGTAGCTATCTTTTGCATATTCTTATATTATTATTATATTATATATTAGAGTGCAACATAATATTAAAACATTTTTAAGTATTGCTATTATCTTAAAAAAAATTATGATAAATTCATTCAAAATATAATTTCAAAAATTATTAACAACCTTTGCATTATTGATTTGATGATGTAGTTCTTCAGTTGTTTCTTTAACAAGGCCTAAATCTGCCAGCTGAAGTTCAGTGTTCTCAACCCAAGAAAACAGTCTGGAAATACTATCTCCACATAACTTATATTTTTCTTCTACAGCAATCTAATAGGAAAAAATATAAAAATAGAAAACAATTACTTAAATAGCTCCTATGTAAATATTATCCAATATGAATTTTGAAAGCAGATTTAAAATATTCAATATAAAATATTAATATATACTTACCTCAATAAAAAATTTTAAAAATTATAATAAAAATGATTATATAATACATTTTAAGATTGTTTCATGCACAAAAAACAAATAACAAAAAATTCACAGCATAAAAGTTGTTACAAATAGCATAAACAAACAATTAACAAATGCAAAATAGTAATACCATAAATTTTTTAACAGGCAAACTGCATAAAACCAGCAATACCTTCACAAAGCTTTAGCAAACTGCATGCTTCTGACTAAAAAAACAAATTTTACTAGATTCTGAAATTCCAACTACCACCATTTTCGTATGAAGCCAAGGATCAATTTTTGTTAATGAAAGTTTAATCTTTCATGCATTATTAGTAAAGTAAATAATAAATAAATAAATAAACAAAATTAAATAAATAAATAAATAATTAATTAATTAATAATAATTCTTGAAAAAATCATAATTCACAAATAACAAATTTTCACATTACAAATTTTAATATCATCTTTTTAAGGGTTAAAAATTAACAATATTTATATATATATATATAAATACATTAGGAAATACTGCAGCAGAATAAATTTTACCATGCAATACAGAATCTCCTGAATCCTTACCCTTTTTTCTGCCGCAATCAGTAGACCATCACGTAGAGCGTGAAGCAGATTAATACGCTTTCTTGTGTGGGAATTTATCAAACAGCCAGCTTCACCATCTAGTAAACCAGATTCAAGAGCTTGATGAATTGTCATTATTTCTCCACTATGAGCATCACGTATTCGAGTTGTTGTAGGATCAATAAGATTTGATGCAATTGCTTTTTGAAATGTTAATGTAAGTTCATTATATGGGTTAAGAAATAAACCAGTCTGTGAATTATATAGTTTATATTCCAATGCTTCCAATAATGTTAATGGTCTCTTAAATGTTAGAATTAAACCATTACTTAAAGCATCATTTATTGTCAATAACTGATTAGTAACTGCATTTAAAACAGTTCCTTTCTCTGGATCGATAATATTCAGATCAAAAGCTTCTGGAAACTTCAATATTTTTCTTGATTTTGTATCTTTTACAAGAACTGTATCTGAATCAATGTAACCTAATACTATAGCTTCTTTTAAACTTAAGGGCTCATTTAATTCCTGATTTTTAAACTGTCCTGTAATTGTATTTAGAAAGCCTTTTTCAATTGCCTGATCAAAACTTAATGGCTCATGAAGAAATATTAGTGTTCCCTGATCAAACATGATTGTTAAACTTTGAGCTTTTCCATGAAATGGATGTATCATAACTTTTCTTTTAATATCAATAATATTTTCTTTAATTGCATTCTTTAAAGTTTTAAATCTTCCTGTTGTTGGATCTTTAATGACAGCAGATTCAGGATCTATTAATTCATTCTTTATTGCTTCTTCTAAAGTATACTCAATCATAGTTTTAGGATCCTTAAAAGTTCCTTTACTGAAATCAATAGAACCATGTTTTAAAGCTTGTTGAAATGAAACTGGCTTCTCAGTTTTAATAATTAATCCACTTTCATATGCTTGTAATAGTGATATTGTCTTATCATTTCGTTCATCAATAATTGTACCTGAAGAAACATTAATAATCCCATCTTCTATAGCACTTCTAATTGACTGTAATTGACCAGTAAATGCATTTCTAACAGATGCAGTAGATGGTTCAATTAAACCTTGCTCAATAGCTTGACTTAAATCAAGTTTATCACCAATTTCTGGATCAATAAACTTTCCTGTCGTTACATCAAATAGCTTCATTTTAAATACTTCATCTATATCCATAGGTTTCTTGCACTTGATAATCAAACCCTCTTGTACAGCTTCATTAAAAGATAGCATTTGAGAAGAGTTTGGAACAATGTATTTTCCAAGTTCTGCATCAATAAGTTTAGAATCAATGGCTGCAGATAATAACATATAACGATTAGTTTGTTTATTTTTCACATATGATGTTTTTAAATCAATAACATTTTCTAGTATTGCTTCTTCAAGTGTTAAATATCTTCCATTAGTGGGATGTACTAGTTTTCCATTTACTGGATTATACAAACCAACAGTTACAGCTTCACATAAACTAAATGGATTTTCAATGTCTATTATAAATCCACGTTCCAAAGCTACATTAAGAGGTATGCACTGATTACTATTAGGTTCTTGAAATGTTCCTTCTCTTCGATCTATAATTCCTGCTCTAATTGTTTCTACTAATAAAAGAATTCTTTCAGATAAAGGATCCCAATAACAAGGTAAAGAAGGATTAATTACAAAGCGTCTAACAGCTTCATGTAAAGTAATATTTTGTCCAGTATTAGGATCTGTAAACTTTCCAGTTTCTTCTATATATAATCCTTGTTTTATTGCTTTTTGTAAGGATATTGCCATTTGGCTTTCAATTATCAAACCTAAATCAAAAGCAATTGGCAACGACACTTCAGTTTTATCTTGAAGTACAAGTTTTCCTGTTTCATTGTTTATCATACCATTCTCTATTGCAGTAAAAAGAGATATTTTCTTTAGAAAACCACTTTTAGTATCTTTAACATGAACAGATTCAGCATCTATTAAATTTATTTCAAGAGCTTCTTTCAAAGTTATATATTTTCCTGTATCAGGATTAAGAAATTTACCATTTCTTTCATCATGCAGACCTTTTAGTAGTGCATCTTTTAAAGATAATGGTCTTCTCAAGTCAATCAATAGTCCTCTATCAAAAGCATCCTGAAAGTTGAACTTCTTTCCCATTCTGTTTGAAATAAATTTTCCATCTACAGTATCAATTATATTTTGTTGAACTGCTTGATTAAATGTAAGTAGTGTTCCATCACTCTCATTTATTACAAGAGTAGAATTAGGATCTATTAAACCACTTCTAATAGCTTTTTCTGTTAACATCTTTTCCTGAGATGATGGATTAATAAAAAATCCAGTTTCTGAATCGTAAAATCCTTTGTAAATTGCTTCTGGAAGGGAATATCTTCGTTTTGCAGATAAAATCAATCCTCTGTCTACTGCATCATAGAAATTCATTTCTGATCCATGTCTTGGATCTATAGCAATACCCAATTTTGGATCAATAATTCCAACCTGAATAGATTCAAGTAATGTCAATATATTGTCTGATCTTGGATCTTTAACTGTCAATGCATTCTTATTGATATATCCCTGTAATATGCATTCTTCTAATGTTATTTTTTTCCCATTTACATAATCAATCATAAGTCCAGTTTCTGAATTATACAGCTGATGTTCAAGTGCCTCTTGAAGAGACCATGGTTGCCTTGTAGTTACAAGGAAGCCTTTTAACAATGCAATATCTAATGTCATGACTTGAGGATATTTTAAAAGACCCTGCTTGGCATCTAATAAGCCTGTTAATATAGCTTTTTCTAATGTAACTAAATTTCCTTGTTTAACATTTTTAACTTTAGCTGAATCACCATCAATAAATCCAATTTTTATGCTTTCTGCTAGTGTAATTGCTTCTCCTGTTGCAGGATTTAAAAACAAACCAGTAGATGGATTGTAAAGACCCTTATTTATTGCATCTAAAAGTGTTAATTGAATTTGATTTGTCATAATTAGTCCTTTTTGTAAAGCAACATCTAAAGTATATTGACTATTTTTAGCTGTGTCTTTCAATTTACCTGATTTAGAAATAATTAGATGAGTTTCTAAAGCCTCATCCAATGAAATTATATTATCTGCTTTTGTATCTTTTATTTCTGTCATAAAAGCATCAACTAATCCTTTCTTTACTGCATTATCAATATTGTGACTTTGTTTTGTGATTGGATCTTCAATCATACCAGTATTAGGATTGTAACAATTATTTCTAATGATTGCTTCTAATGAAAATGGATGGCGATGTATCACAATTAAGCCTTTCTTAAATGCTGTCTCTAATGTTAATTCTTGACTTGTAATGGGATTGATGTAAATATTATTTGTCAAGTCGACCAAGCCAGAATCTATTGATTCTTTTAAAGTTAAGAGATCCTTCAGTTTAGGATCATAAACATCAATTGATGTCATATCTATAAATCCTGCTTTTAATGCTTCAAAAAATTCCATAAATTCTCCAGTTATTGGATGTTTAAAAGTGACAATATCTATATCAAATAACTTATTCTCTATTGCTTTCTGAAGTGTTAATGATTTGATAAATGAAGTAACTTCTTTACTTTCTTCTGAAGCTTTAATCCAACCTAATGCAACTGCTTCAATAAACGTTACTTTTTCTCCAGTATTTGGATCTGTCATTTGTCCTGTTTTTCTATCTATAATTAATTTGTGAAAAGCTTCCAGAAGTGATATAAATTGACCTGATTGTAAATTTTTAACTTCTATCTTTTCAGCATTTAATATGCCGCTACTTACAAGTTCACAAAAACTTATCATTTCTCCAGTTTGAGGATTTACAAATACTGATGAACTTTTATTATAAAAACCTTGATCAAGTAATTCAATAATTGCATTTCTTTCCTGAAGAATTTGAGATCTGATAAGTATTAATTCTGTAAAACTATATACTTTTACTACATCATCTAAAACTGCAATCCCATTTTTTAGAGCCACATCAACAGTCAGCTTCTTATTTTCCTTTTGCAAGACTAATAAACACTTCTGTGGATTTATAATTTGCAATTCAATTAATTTTCTCAAGTTAATATGCTGTCCAATTAATGATGGAGCAAGCAATTGAAGTTTTGAAGGCACTTCTTCCAAATGACTAGGAGAGATTATTCTGTTTTGCAAATCATTTGAAACTTTCATTGTCTCGGTGCTAGCTAATCCTGAGAGATCAATAACTGCTATCATTCCCATTTTTAATGCGTCCTTTATTGGAACTTTTTTATATGGATCAAAATCGATATAATTTAGAGTTTTAATATCAAATTTTCCATTTTCTAATGCTTTAAGAGTTGTCATAATTTCACCAGTTGATGTATTATATATCATACAATCAAGATCAATTAAATTTTCTCTTAGAAGATTTTCAAACATAACTATTTCACTAGTTTGAGGATTTCTAAACATATTATGCTTATCATCATACAATAAATTAAATGATTCACTTAAAGAATATTTCCCTTTGAATTTGCTATCATCTGAAATTAAACATCCTTTAACAATTGCTTCAGATATTAGTATCAATTCTCCTGTTTTTTCATCAGTATATTTACATTCTGATAAATTAAGTAAATTTTTTTCAAAAGCCTGTCTGAATGTAAGTGGCCTTATAAATGGGTAAGCAGTTATTTGAAGTAAACCTGATTCAACTGCATTATTTATTGGAATATTTTGTCCACTTTTCGGATGAATCATTGTTAGAGAAATTGGATCTATTAAATTTTTATCTAAAGCTTCTATAACATTAATGCTATCAGCAAGTGGAAGAATGGGAACAGTCATTATCAAACCAGCATCTATAGCATCTCCAATATAGAGCTGTTCATTAGTAACTGGATGTGTAAACTGTTTGGTTTTTGTATCTATTAGTTTATGTTGCAAAGCAACAGGAAATGTCAATCCTAACAAAGGCATTTTACTAGTTTCACTTGCAGGAAAATAAAAATCTAACATATCTTTCGTAGCATCAACTATACTTATTGTTCCAGTTGGTAAATGAATTTCAGCTGTTATAGAATCTACAATTCCTTTATTCACTGCTTCTTGTAATGTTATTTTGCTTCTGCTTTGTGGTTCAGAAACAGTAGCGAATGGATTGATAATATCACAGATAATGGCATCTTGTATGGTTAAAACTGTGCCAATTTCTGGATGTATAATTTTCAATGATTCTGGCTGAATCAATCCCTGAGTTGCTGTTTCTGGAAGAGTTAATGATCTACCTACAGGCAGCATAATGTTTCCATTTTCAGGATCCAGAATTTCAAGATCAAGAGCTTCTTGTATAGTTAATTTTACATTACGTTTTGGATCAACAACAGCACCTGTATTCCCATCAATTAAATTTGACTTTACTGCTTCTTTTAATGATAACTGTTTGCCATCAGAAGTTTTCAAATTTCCTAAATCATTTAATACTTCTCCTGTAGTTTCATCGACTAATCCTTGTTTTACTGCTTCCTTTGGTTTTACACTTTTTTTCCTAATTTTTTGTAAGACTGAAGCCTGTTTAGGAGACTCAACTGATTTAGCCTTACCAAATGTTACTTCAAATCGTGGTTCAACAAATTCTCTTGTTTTTGGTGTTATGTTTTCAGTCTTAAATTGATTTTCTTTATTATCATTATCCAAATTTAATTTACTTGAATTGTCTTTTGATGAAATTACTTGAAACTTTCCTGTTTCTAATTTGTCATGATGAATACTTTTTAAATGTTCTTGATTTTCTTCTATAATCATAGGAACAACAATTTGATCATCCTTTGAATCAACATTTGAAGTTAAAAAATACACTAATCCATTTTTCATAGCTTCAGATATTAATATTGATTCTCCAGTTTTATAGTTTACATATTCATTAGTTTCTTCATTTATTAGACCTATGTCGATTGCTTCTTCATAGACTAACATATTCCCAGTATTAATGTCTTTCACTCTAAGTTGATTTGATTCAACTTCTTTAGATTTAACAGCAGTGACAATATCAGAACTCTTCCCTGTGGTAGAATTAATGACTTTTCCAGAAGTTGGATCATAATATATATCTGAAGCTATTCTTATAATTTCATTTGCAGTAGTTGACACCATTTTATCAGAAGTGCTAACTTTTGGAAAACTTGTTATTTCAGAAAACAGCAGCTTTGTTTCCCCTGGTTTTTCATGAGTTCCTAATCTTCCTGTTTCATGAAAAACTTCTTTTGATGAAGCAGTGATATTTAACTTCCTTTTTTCTATTAAGGCATCAACTTCCATTCTGTCTTCAAGAAAAATTAATTTTTGTCCAATTCCTTTCTTCATCGATATTTTAGTGCCATTTTTCTCATCAACGTAATGTCCTGTAGAATCCAAAATATTTTTCTCTAATGATTTAATCACAGGAATAACAGTTTTAGTTGTAGGATCAACAACATTGACTGAATTAGGATTTATTATTTCCATTTTTATTGTTTCTTCAAAAGAAACTAATCTGTCAGTACCAAGAATACTAAAGAGACCTGTTTCACAATCAAACATCCCATTTTCTATTACTTCTTTTAGAAACCAACCTCCAGATGGTACGTCTACCTGTTGCTCATATTCATTCATAAGAGATTTATATTCCTGATATCCATTAGTACTAATAGAATTTAGTTCTGTCCTTGCTAAATTTTTAAATAATTCTTCCTTAAATATTTTACTTTCAGTAACTTGTTTTGGACTGCTCATCCTCTCAAACGAAAAAGATTCATCTTTGATAGATGTAACTGTTTCTTGTTTACTTTTCAACAGTTTTTCAGTATCATGTGAAGGAATCTGAAAAGTAAATTCTAGAGTCTGTTTTGTTCTGTTCTGTGCATAATCAGTTTCTGGAGAACTTGGCCATTCAGAAGTTAATCCTAGAAGTCCACTATTAATTGCTTCTTCCAGAGATATAATTTTACCAGATTTTGGTTCTCTAAATGTACCATTGGTTTCATCAATAAGACCATCTTTCATAGCTTCTTGAAATGTTATTTTTGTTCCAGAATTAACAGACTGTTCATAAATAGTTACAAATTTTGTTGTTTTATTGGTCACAGTCTTAACTAAAACTGAAATATTTAACAGACTTTTTAAAGTTGAAGCACCTTCTAATGTTATCATATTCTGGTTTAGAGCATCCATTAAAGAAATAAATTTTTTTGTCGTTGGTTCTCTTAATTTACCTGTATTAGAATCAAGCAGATCTTTAAAGACTGCTTCTATAACTGTTAATTCATTCCCTTTATCATCTTTTATTCCAATTTTCTTAGTAAGTAATTGATAAAGTTGTGGTTGTATAAGATGCTGTTGAGTTGCTTCTGATAATGTTATATATTTATTAGATGAAAAATCACAGTATGTATTTAAATTTTTATTAAGTATTCCTTTTTTAATGGCCTTATTAAAACTTACATATTCTGAGATTTGTGAGTCTTTGATTCCTTCAATATCAAAAACTGTTTTTTGAGAAATAGGAAGAATTAATTCTTTTTCAACAGCTTCATTTAAACTAAAAATCTCTCTGGTTTCTGAATTATAATAATGTCCATTTGATGTTATTATTCCTTGTTCCATAGCTTCAGGAAGAGAAAGTAAATCATCAGTTTGATTTGAAACAATGTTTCTTGTGTGAGTATCTATTATTCCTACTGCAACTGCTTCAAGAATTGTTAATTCAACATGAGAAATAGGATGAATAATTGTATTGTTCACACTTATCAAATTATATTCTACAAGTTCTCTTAAAGTTAAAGGGTTAGTAATGAATTTCATTTTACGTGCTTTCAAAAAACTAAAGTTTTCTTGTTTTGTTATATCATGATATTTGCCCAAACTTAAATCTAAAATGTTCTCATATATTGCAGTTTTAACTGAACAAAATTCTTCTGTTTTTAAATTATAAACTTCAGTTTTATGAGATTGCAAAATTTTTTTATCAACTGCTTCGTCAATGTAATATCTTTCGCCAGACAAATGATCAACTAATAGACCAGAATTTTCATCAATTAAACCTTTATCTATAGCATCAACTAATGATATTTCACCTTCATTTACATATATATAAGAACTATCAAGAAATTTAGCTTTAAAGGCCTCTACTAATGTTAGCTGTTTATGTGTTTCTGGATCTGTAAATATTCCTGTTTTTGGATTAAGTAAATGCTTTTTTATGGCTTCAGTAAGTGTAAGTTTAGAAATGTTAATAATATGCAATTCCATTAGATTTTTAAGTTTTTCTTCTCTTATTATTCCTAAATTAAGAGCTTCATCTAAACTTATGGAGTTTCCTTTTTTTGGATCCAGGAAAACTCCATTTTCAGGATCATACAAACCCTTTTGAATTGCTTCTATTAATGTTAATTCTATGCCTGTTTTTGGATCAATAATACCACACATTTCAGTTAAACAACCAGCAAATTCAGTATCTATAAAATTTTGTGTAACAGCATTATGTAAACTCATTTGTTTTCCAGTATTTACATCTAAGTATTGTCCTGTTTTCAAATTAATTATATTACATTTTATTGCTTCATATAGTGTTAATTTTTCTCCAGTTCTCGTATTCAAAATAGCTCTTATTGAAGTTATATGTTCTGTATTTGTTGACTGATCTAGTTTTTCAAGTTTTCTCGAACTTTTAATTTCTGAAAATGTTAAAGTGCTATCATATTTATGGAATGCACCATTTAATGTTGTAGAAGAAGTGGTATTAACATAAGTTGAGTTTTCCAAGTCATTTGAAGGCTGCATTACTGATGACAACACGTGTTGAGTTTCTGCATTGTAATCTTCTTCACAATAATTCATTGTTTTAATAGTAGATTCTGTATGATAGATGGTCTTTCTTTCATGAACAGGAACTTGCTCAAGGATTAATTCAGTTCGGAACGTCTTCACAGCTATTGGAACGGCTTGCTGAATGGTGACGGAGAACTATGCAATGGGAAGGAAAAGAAAAGAAAGGAAAAGGAAGTCAGAGGTTCAAGTAGACACCACAGACCTACAATTATAGTTCATGCTAGATTAACCCCATTTTAAAAGTAGAAAGAAATTTTAAACTATAAATTAAACCCACTAATTTACTTTTAATTTTGAATTTAACCATTCCACTAATAAAGAAATATACTAATAACATGCATACATTCTTAAAAAGAATCTTAAAAATCAGAATAAAGAGTATAAAATTAGAATATAAAAAAAATTGAAAAATGGAAAATGTTTTCTTAAACAAGTATCTAGAAGGTAATGATATTACAATAAAATATAATTTTTAAAATGATTCATTTGACAATACAAATGACTCCAAAATAGTAGATTTTTTTAATAAAAAAAAAATTACATATTTCAAATAAAAATCATATTAACTCCTTAAATTTACATACTGTATATAAATATTGTGTTTATATTTAAAGCAATATATTCATACTGATTTAGCTTGTAAATTTAGTAAAAAATATAAGTAACATTATTTAATAAAATTATATTAAAATTATAAGTTTACTAACATACACATCAATACTGTTTCATCATTAATTCATATTTTCTTTTATTATATTAATAAACTTGACTCCTTTTTTATTTATAATCGGCATTAATTACATGAAATTATATTTTAATAAAACAGAATTCTTTTGTACAACATAAAATTTTAATCTTTTTATAAAAATAATTCTTTTATATTGTTTTACCAGATCTATAATAATTGTATAAAGATATAGAGAATTTTTTAAAATTATATTAAAAAGCATTTAGGCTCAATTAAAATGTATTTTTTATATTTATTAAAATTCATTCACTACGTAAGAACAGACTGATGATAATTCAATTTATTAATGATGCAAAAATTGTAATTATTATTTATAAAAATAAAATTATTAACAAAATTAACCATCTTTTAATTTCTATCATTTATTTGAAAAATAACTAATATCATTTTTACAATAATTTTAAGTCTGCATTTCTATTTCCACGTATTATGATAATTATATACTGTTTAAAACTCTAATTTTTAAAAAAGTATAAATGAGTAAATTAAAATGTTAAGTTTTTACATGAAATTCATTGTCATTATCTTTAAAAACAAATAATTTTATTCTCTAATAATGAATCAATATTAATGTTTAACTTGTTCATCAATAGTGACTTCTTGGAGCAGTCTACACCACAAGACTGCACAGATCAACCCTTCTCAAAAGTGTCATAAAATTTGCAGTGTTTCTCACTTGGAAAATTTTATTATTTGTTTTTTAGAAATACAGTTCTTTTTAATTATTATACACTTCGAAGAATATATTGTATTTTATATAATTTCTCTTGACATTTTTAACATATGCAATAAGTAAACAAAAATGTTAAAAACATTTTTGGCACACAGTTTTGGGCATTGCTATCTATGAGGATAGTGAACAAGTAAAAAAAAAAAATTAAACACTTTAAAAATTTTTATGTTCCTTAAAATTATGAGGGGAATCCAGAATCTCATTCTACTCAGATAAGATTTTATCTGTAAAGAACTTCTTTAAACTCTGAAGATAAAACAGAAAATTTTCTTTATGATTCTAAACTTAATAGCATATATAAGAAGCTAGAACTTACAAAAATGAGTTGATCATATCTTTAACACTCAAAAAAGTTTGTGAAAACAAGTTTCTGTTCTGTTAGCTGGAAGTAGAAAATTGCTGCAGCTTTCCTACTGATATTATGTAAAATGCACTGCAACTGGAGAAACTCTCGCTATTGCAATCACTAAATGTTAACGAATTCCATTAATCTACCATATTGTAATATCATCTAAAAGAAGTTTTAACCTTAAATAATTCCATCAATCATAGAATGTTTTGTAATTCTAATTTCTAATACTCTTTGTTAAAACTTCTCTTGCATCCAATCAATTAGAACAATAAAATGTTATATTTTTAAATCTTATTTTTTGCAAATTCTAATGGCATGGCCATGAAATTTATCATAATTTTTTTATTAGTTTTTTTTTTATGAGGTTATATACAACATTCACTTACAGATTACAGGCAAACCAATATCAATTTCACAAAAAAGATTATAGTGAAAAACAATTATTAAAAAAGTTCAGAAGACACAGGATAAGATTACAACTATATTTTCTACAACATAATACATTACAGTTTTTTATAGAAAGTTCTGTTTTAATCAAATTTATTTTATTAAAATCTAATGTATTGTGTAATATCTAATGGAGATTTCATAGTACAATGCCTCTGAATTGTAAGAATTAAACACACAGAGATAACACATGACAAATTGAGATTAATTATATGCAAAATTTTCTAGATTAACTTATAGTGCAAATTAAATGATTTAATGATTAGAGAATTTGAACTATGGATCTTAGCCATCTGATAAATTATTTATTAAATATTTATTAATCATTAAAATTTTTAAATTTTAATGATTAATAAATTTAAATTAATCCATTAATTCAAATTATTTGTTTAATTAATTATTAATTAAAATCACTTAATTAACCAAATTATAACTCAGAAAATTTCAGGAATTTTTGACATGAGCTGCAAATTATGATCAAAGAATCTGAATTGACTGGATGGCTGAAACAGTTAAAGTGTCAGTCAACTACTCTGCAGACCTGGGATTAAATACAGATTGTCAAAAAATCTCAGGAGTTTTTGAGGAGTGGTCTGTCTCAGATATGTTTGGTCCCATCCCTTACCATCCAGCTAAACCATTATGGACCTAGCCTCACTCATGACAAGCCTGATAAAAGCGCACACAGGAAAGAAAGAGTGAAAAAGGAGTCTGAATAAAGTTACTTGTAGATAATGACTATTCTGAGCCTTATATGTCAACATTAATATATAAAATATTTTCTACTATTCTATTGAAGAAATAATTTTGGGATGGAGTCTGCAGAAATAACAATAAAACTTCTGAAATCAAAACTTCTGAAAAATTTTTGAAAAAGCTAATATTTTCATAACAATATAGTGATTTCAACTGTTTAACATCTACAGTTATATAGAAAAACAATTTTTACTATTTTTTATGTTTAATAATATGTTAATACTAAATTTCTGTTTTAATTTAATATAATAATATATTCTGGATATAAAAAAATTATTCCTGAATAAATTATTATATTTTATTGATATTGAAAATTTATAAAACTTTAAAATTTTTTGATTTTTTCAGTTTTTAAGAGTTAAACAATTCAAATTTAAATCAAATTTTAAAACTAGAAAGTTTTTAATGAACAACCAATCATCACTGAAATGGACAACATTTTTCATTTAGAAAAGAGTTGATAATTTCACAAAAATTTTCCAAATATTTGTTTTACTTTTCTTCATTTCAAGATTGAATTTTCTTGTGACTATTATTAAATTATTTAAGTTTTATAAATAAAAAATTTTGTTAAAATTATTCAAATTAAAAATCATTTAAAACAACATATCACAGATGGCTGGATGGCTGAGTGGCTAAGCTGGCTGCATACTGTTTTGGGGACCCAGGATCAAATCTGGATGGGTTGAAAAACCCATAAATTTTTCGGGGATGGTCCATCTGGATATATCAGCCCCTAACTTTCCTATTGTAGACCTGACCAAACCCAAAATGGGCTAGCTAAAAGAGAGCATCTTAGTGCCCACAGGGCAGAATTAATAAACATCACAAGGACAACATTAAATAATTACATTAATTACTAAATTAATGTAATTATATTAATTCAAGCAAAGAAATTCTAAACAAAATACTTACAAAGTTACAATTATGACACAAAACAATTTACAAAAATTATATTAAATTTTATGCTTTCATTTATACATTTACATTTTAACTATACTTTAACATTATAATTTAACATTTATTCACACTCTGCTATATTGGAGTTGTATTGTATGAAACATTAAAACATGTAGTAATTTTATTTTCATATGTATGCATGTTTTCATTTTTAATGTAAAATTAACCATAAAAATATATTTATTTAATAAATATGTTTTCAGTAATCACAAAATAACTTTATTAAAAGATATTTACCTTCTGGTCATTATGATTTGATATTGCTACTTTCAATTCATTAATATGTTGAACTAGACTATCCACCATATTGGTATACTGTTGATTAAGAGTATCTAGTTCTTGACTTACAACATCAGCACCAGAAGATAATTTTGCTTTCTTTACGACGCTGGCATCAAGACTAGGATGAACTTCTTCTAAACCTTCTTTGTAGTGTTTGAGACGAAGATCAAATATCTATAGCATAGGATAAATATATAGCATTGATTCCTACTAGCAATTTTAATTGCTGACAAAGGAAAGCAAGATGGGACAAAATCTGGTTCTTTGTGCAGAATTGCAAAACAGCTTAGCAAAGCAAACCAAAAATGGATTTTATGTCATATACATGCCTTAAAGTAATAAATATTCTCAAAAATTTTTCTTCACAAACAAACAGAAAGAGGTTTTTGATACTATTTCAGCATGCAAGTCTTTAAAAATATATCCAATTTACATGGAGCTCTTAAGAAAACCCAAAAGTATAAAAAATTCTCTTCATGCAATTCAATTTTATTAAGCAGAAGCATTTGGCATAGGATAAAGCAGTAATAGAGAGAGAAGGAGAGAGAGAGAGAGAGGGAGAACTTATTCTCTAATAAGAAATATTGTTATAATATTACATATATTTGAAATATTCTTAAAGTAAATGACTCATAAAATTTTAAATTATTAATATGAATATTTAAGTTTTAATTTAAATTATTATTCAACTTATTAAGAAAATTTTGTTCAGAATATATTTAAATATGAAAGATTATTATATTATTATTTTAACTATTTTATAAGAAATTGTCAGGGAAAATTACAAAAAAGCAGTTAATAGTTAGCAAGCTGCATACCTTGGCTTCTCTAATATATCTTCCTCCCAAAATGTTGACATTTTCTATAGAATTTTTCTTCTCAGCAAGAGAATTATAAAAAGTCTGAAATTCAATTTAATATTAAATTTCATAATAAGGGATTTTTTTTATTTTTTAAGTTTGTGATTTATGCAGTTTCTGTTGCTGTAATAAAAAAAATAACACATCATATTTTAACACCTACTTTATATCTTCTTACCATTAATTTTTCCATTTCTTTCTCAGCATCAACTACAGGATGTTTTACAGGTTTAATTTCTTCTATTTTAAAAGACATATCAGTAGCCCATACTTTCTCAACTTCCATTTTACTCTTGTATGTTCTTAGAAGCTCAGAAGCAGCTTCACAACTTCTCAGTCTATTATGATTAAATTATCAAATTATATCTACTCCAAAAAAATTTAATATAATAAAAGAATTCAGTATTTTAAAAATTACCGTTCAACAACTTGTGTGGATGTATTTTCCCAACGTTTTGTTAATTTTCTGACATCTTCATCTAATTTATTAACATCATGATGAATTGTTTGTTTTGGTCTGCTTTGTTCTGTTAAGTGACGTACTTTTGTAGTACTTTCTGTTAATTGGTCCAATGTATACCGATGTTGTTGTATTTCAACTTGGACATTCTAAAATTTAAACATAAATCATAATTAAAATTTTTATTGTCATGAAGATGTTTAGTTAAATAAAATGAATTATTACATTTCATATTACACAATGTTATATTAAAATTATCATAAATATTTAAAAAATATTCTTTTTGAAATTTAAAAATATTAGAAACATACCAGTAAATTATCATGAACTTTTCTTAAAGTATCTAAATCAGATGGCATATTCTCATAAGAAGCAAGCTGTAATTCCACATTTGAGACAACTTGAGTAGATTCTTCCATACCATGAAGAGAGATTTCCACAGATTTCAATCTAAAATTAATAAAAATTAGCATATTTATTACATAATTTTGCATGATTAAAATATTTAAAGATAAATTATTATGTATTTTGTACATAGTTTCATTTTATTAAGCTGATATTGCTAGATAGGATAAAATTTAAAAATTTTTTCATATATTAATTAAAAAATTATTTGCTTTAATTTTATATTATTTGATTTAAGGAGAAATTATTACTCAAAATTGTAAAAAGTTACATTTGAAATTTCAAGCATTTATTATAATATTAAAAAAAAATAATAATAATAATTAGCCAAAATCCATGTAACAACTCTAATTTATAAATAATGACATCACTTTAGACAGAAACAGAATTAATTTCCAAATAAAATGTAATATAATAACAGGAACAAATGTTTACACTTTTAATTAACAGTGAATGCATTTTAGACTAATCAAGTAACCTTAAATTAAAAATAAATGAATGCTATTGATAATCTAAAACAGGAGTCAGCAACCTTTCAATGGTGTTGTGCCAAATGTAAGATATAACGTTATTCCGAGTGCTGATATGATTCTACCAATTTTGCTATATATATTATCAAAACAAGTCCGATTATAATAGTCTTCAAAAATGTATAATTTTGAAGTTAAGTTGTTAATTGAACTATGTTCTTACATGTGAAGAACTTGCATAACACATAGATGATGACTCAGAGCATAAACACATGCACTGTAATAGAAATATACAAACATGAGATTTGTTTTTAATGTACCATGGCCTTCATTGAACTATGATTTCCATTTAAATGTGTAATTAATAATTAAAATATAATTTTTACTACATTTCTATTCAGAGTGCCAGTGAAAATTGTCCAGTGTGCCAAACGTGGCATGCTTGCCATAGGTTGCTGACTCCTGATCTAAAATATAACTTATAAAAATATAAGTCAATACCTTTCAATATATACTCTTGATATACTCCATAATCTATCCCAAGATTCTGCCATAGTATCATGTCTAGTTTGGAGTACAGGAGATTTTCTAGTAATTGAATGGAAAGTTTGTTGAATTTCTTGAATTTGTGATTCCAAATTATGAAGTTCAGTTTCAAATTCCTAGAAACAAAACATATAGAAATAAATAAATAAATAAATTCTGTTCAAATAACAATAAAAGAACTATATTTTAATTGTTTAAGTATTTCTCAGTTAACTTTGAAATTTTGTTTCTTAAGCTTACGAAAAAGTAGAAATAAAATTGCTGATCAGGAAATAATTATTCATTAAAATTTTTAACTTTAATTTTCTCTGTACAGATTCAATTCTATCTACAATATATTATATTGAATTAATTTTAAAATTAATGATGATTACACAAATATATAAACAAGGTTCAAACTTTCATTATTCTAAAATAAAAACTTTAAAGTTATTCTAAATTTCATTATTATGATATCATACTTTAAGATAAATATCATCAAAAATAGATCATTTTCTTTTTAGTCAATAAAATATTTGAATTTCATCAAATAACCACTCATTCAGGCAAGAACAAATTTGATCTCTTTAAATAATTATGATAAATTTATGACTAACTAATTACTTTACTAATTATGAATACATAAATACTTTTTACAGTTTATTAATAATACTGTTGTTTATTAAATATTAAATTCTATATTTATTATAAATTATAATTCAATCTGTCTAAAATAGCATATTGCAACACTGGCTTTTAAACTAAGGTTTATAAACCACACAAGTGGTTTGTGAAAATGTGTCAGATTTTCATGGCCAGATTGTCATTTTTCTAAAATGTAATTTTGCACTAGCCAAAATATAAGAATATTTTTAAGCACTATTTGTCTCTTACATTAGGTTATTGAATAAACAAAAACTTTTGGCATAAACCTATGGAATGATTTTTTTCAAAGATAAAAAATGGACAAAGACATAGATAATCCACCATATCAGTGATTTAAATTCAGTGATCCTCAGTCTATAAACTGTCAGAACGACTACATTGCAATATAAATAAAGAATAATATAACTGTAAAATGATCTTTTATATATATGCTATGGTATAGAAAATATCCAAAGCAATAATGAATTTTTAATGCTTCCAGATATTATTTATTATATTTTATATTAAATCAAATAATCTTTACCTCAATTTATCTTACCTTATGTTGTATAACCATAGTTTCTAACATATCTAATGTGCGAGGAATGGGAGAATGAACTCTACTATTTAAAGTTCTCTCTTTCTCATTTAATATATTCTGCATTGATGCTACCATATCATTGAATCGTCTTACTGGACCTTTAGGAGACATTTCGGCTAAGATTTGAAACATACATTAGTATATTTACAATGACTGATTGTATAAATTTAATTTAAAGTACTTTATACCTTCTTCAAGTTCAAGTTGTTTTTGAAGTTCCAAGAAAAGTTTATTACAATATCTCATTTCTTCTTGTAATCTTAATAGTGCAGGATCATCCTGATCACCTTCACTCACAAGTTTTTCTGTATCTTCGTTTAATGCTTTTAATATTGATTCTCTCTGATGTTTACCCATACTGCGAAACTAAAAACAATAATACAAGCAAATCAGTTTATTATTTTAGCAAAACATGTTGTTAGTTATTGTGACTGTTACATTAAAGTATTCTTACCTGTGCCAAATCCCAAGACTTTACAATTTTAATGGTAGCAAAAATCATATTTTGTCTTAGTTTATGTTGCTTTGTTGTCCACAGAGAAACTACAATATCATAGTGTCGTTTCAAGCTGAAAATTCAAACAACATCCAATAAAATAAATGAATAAATAAAACCAAAAATCAATTTTTAATAAATAACATTTTAAAGACCTCAATTTAAAATCTTAATACTGTTATTAAAATTTTTAGTTTCAGCCAGATAAAAACATAAAAATTTTATAATTTCCTGATAAAACCATTAATACATAGTCTTATGAACAGTTTGATATTGGTCTTATTACACAAAGTCAAATTAAATATTAATTAATTTTGATAGAATAAAAGGATTTGGATAATAATAATTTAATTTAGATTTCTCATATTATATTTTAAGTTATTTTATGTAAATGTTTTTAAAGGATTTATAATAGATTCTAAAGCTTAATTATATTTGTAATTTTAAGTCATGAAATCAGAAAAAATTCAATAACACTTATTGAATCTTATATTTCAAACATTGAAAAATGTTCCAATATATTTAATCTTTATAATTTAATGTTATTTAAAATTGTATATCAAACACACCTTATTACTAAGAGACTTTATTTATTACATTGAACAAACATTTTCAACCCACTCAATGGGTCATCATCAGGTTATTGATGCTATACGAACCTTTACACTGGTTTGTTTACAATTGTTCTTATTGAATCACCAAGAAATTTGAATTAAAAGTGTTTCGAACATTGTGTTAAATTCAAAATAAACACAATAGAAACTATCTAAATAGTCCATTAAATACCGAAATTGAACTAATCAAACAAACTATAATAAAATATGATACAATAAAATATATAAAATAACTACAAATATAAATATAACAACATAGGAGTTTTACAACAACCGCATGCTCCACATTAAATCATGAGCTCTGTTTAATTATGTACTTCCAAGCTGAAAGTAAAATTGTGGCATCCTTATAGTTCAAACATTTTCCAGTTAGGCTAGATTTATAGATTTTGGACTTTTCCAATGTTAACACCAAAGATGGTGAACCCGCACTGGTGCAATAATTTTGGCTTCCACCCATTCAACTATGGATTCATCCGTTTGTGCTACTCTCGATAACGCTGTTGAATAGTGTCCTTTGTTTATATCGTACTTATGCTCCTTGATTCTTTTATTTAGGTTTCTGGTTGTGACACCTATATACTCCTTGTTGAGATATAATTGGTCTTTCTTATACGGTATCATGTATAAGCCTGCTTGTTCTTCCTTTTTGATCTTGTCTTTGTCATTCCTGAGTAAGTTATATATTGTGGGAGCCCTTTTGTATAGTAGTGTTGTATTTTTGTATTTTGCAATCTCCTTCATAATATTGGACAGATCTTTGTTGTATGTGAATTTAGTGATACTGTTGTTCCTATCACTCTTCATTTTCTTTTTTCTAGGATCTATGTAGAAACTAATTAATTCTTGCACAGATCCTACAAAAAGAAAATGAAGAGTGATAGGAACAACAGTATCACTAAATTCACATACAACAAAGATCTATCCGATATTATGAAGCATTATGATTGCAAAATACAAAAACACGACACTACTATACAAAAGGGCTCTCACAATGTATAACTTACTCAGGAATGACAAAGACAAGATCAAAAAGGAAGAACAAGCAGGCGTATACACGATACCGTATAAGAATGACCAATTATATCTCAACAAGAAGTATATAGGTGTCACAACCAGAAACCTAAACAAAAGAATCAAGGTGCATAAGTACGATATAAACAAAGGACACTATTCAACAGCATTATCGAGAGTAGCACAAACAGATGGGTCCATAGTCGAATGGGCGGAAGCCAAAATTATTGCACTAGTGCATTCACCATCTATGGCATTAACATTGGAAAAGTGTAACATCTATAAATCTAGCCTAACTGGAAAAAGTTTGAACTAGTGTAAAGGTTCGTATAGCATCAATAACCTGAGGTTGACCCATTGAGTGAGTTGAAAATGTTTGTTCAATGTAATAAACAAAGTCTCTCAATAATAAAGTGTGTTTGATATACAATATGCAAAACACAACAATTAACACCTCAATACTACTTCCAGCAGTCAAAAGATTTTAATACTCTAACGTTTTCGGCCGTCTTTTAGAGGCCCTCTTCAGGATGAAACATTAAAAAACAGTTCTATCTTTTGAAGGATTCTAATAATCGAATACAGCTGTGTTCCGAACTTTTAAATATTTAAACGATGCGTACGATATAAAAATCGTTACGCTTACAAAACAAAAAATTATTATTTTAAAATAACGCTATACATAAATTATTATTGTAGAGTTGTGAAAATTAGCGCGGTGTAAATACTGCTATACATCAAATATTATTATATAGTTGTGAAAATTAGCGTGATGTAAACGCTTTGATTTCTTATACATAGCAGAAAGATTAGAAATAATTAAACTTCCGATTATTGTTGTGCCTTGTGGCAATGTAAATAATATTTCCACGATTGTAGAATCGGAATATAATCGGAGTTGATGCAGCTTCCCTTTATGGTTTCTCTATAAATCTCAATAGCCTCCAACGAGCATAAGGCCCTATGTAAAAGAGTAGCCTCATCCCAACATGGGGAAACCCCGGGTTCGGTAGCATACCGTGCTAGAGCCGTACTATGATGTGTCGAAGCAGAAGTATAGTACGGCTCTAGCACGGTATGCTACCGAACCTGGGGTTTCCCCATGTTGGGATGAGGCTACTCTTTTACATAGGGCCTTTGACCGACACGACTTACGCTCGTTGGAGGCTATTGAGATTTATAGAGAAACCATAAAGGGAAGCTGCATCAACTCCGATTATATTCCGATTCCACAATCGTGGAAATATTATTTACATTGCCACAAGGCACAACAATAATCGGAAGTTTAATTATTTTTAATCTTTCTGCTATGTATAAGAAATCAGAGCGTTTACATCACGCTAATTTTCACAACTATTTAATAATATTTAATGTATAGCAGTGTTTACATAGCGCTAATTTTCACAACTCTACAATAATAATTTATGTATAGCGTTATTTTAAAATAATTTTTTGTCTTGTAAGCGTAACGATTTTTATATCTTACGCATCGTTTAAATATTTAAAAGTTCGGAACACAGCTGTATTCGATTATTAGAATCCTTCAAAAGATAGAACTGTTTTTTAATGTTTCATCCTGAAGAGGGCCTCTAAAAGACGGCCGAAAACGTTAGAATATTAAAATCTTTTGACTGCTGGAAGTAGTATTGAGGTGTTAAGTGTTGTGTGTAGT